GGCTCGTATACCGCTCGTTCATGGTGATGCTGTACAATAAGCAAAGCTCGATTACGTTCTCTCTTAAATGCTAACAATTATAATTATGAACTCCTGATACTCTTCGTCGAAAGAACTGAATATTTTTTAACCATTCATGCAAACATACTCTACTTTTTCGAAAACCAATGTGTTAAATTGAAGTATTGGGAGCCGTCAGATGTACAAATTATTAGTTCTATTGATTATGTTTTCCTAATACTTAAATTCAAATAAATTAATAATATTCACCAATTTGGACAAACCTACTTGCATTTTCCAACAACCAAAGCCAGGAAAACAAACTCCTGTTTATTGGTAATCCAAACTAACAAAATATATACTCTTTTTTTTAACGCAAATTAAGGTTTATGAAACATACTCGCCCTTATCATAGCCACAAACAGTCAAAATACATACTCTATCGTAAAACATCCAAATTGTAACATAGTCTTGAAATAAACCACTTTCTAAGAAAATACAAATAAGTCATTCATATCGGAAGATTTTTTCGTGTTCTTCTCAAATATGATATAAAAAACAACAGCTACCCTTCAGAGTTTTGCAGAAAATCAGTCTATTTTTTCAATTGTTACAATTCAGTACCCCGATAGTCTCGATCATTGAACGTCAAACCAACAACGCCACACATTTTGACGGGAACTAACATGTTACATTGATGAGTGTATTCAATGCAGTGTCAAACATAGTCGTCATTGTGTTGTGTGGTGAAATAATAATTATCATTTGAATTTTTTAATAAATAAAAATGTTTCGATTCTGTCAAATAAAATTGTGCAAATATGCCGCTGGCACACAAGACAAAAAAATTGCTTTATTTCGGTAGATTAAACCCGTATCTAAAAAAAATTGTTTTTCTTCCATTTTCAATTGAGTTGTATCAGATGAAAAACCTCTAGACGAGGTTAAAACGGAGGGACGCTCCTGTGCGTGGATTTACCACTCAAAAAGACTGATATCATTTTGAGTGACGCTAGGACGCTGTATTATCACTGGGTACGAAGTTCAAAAGTGTTTTTCGCATTCTCTATTGTGACAATTTATTTACAATAAGGAGAAATATCTTGCGTCACCTAGGGGACTCACGCCAATTTCCATATTTAAAATATGAACAAATAATATGAATTTGTTTATGTTTCAACATATTAAACAGATATGTATGCCTAATTTCAATTTTGTTCAATAAACCGACTGTCAGCAGAACCATGTCTAATCTGTTGACGTCATTATCGCTTCAAAAATTCTGGAAGTGGGTTTTGGTGGATGCTCAGGATTGTTCAAAACCGCTCCTGGTTCTGGAAGTGGATCCTCAGGATGGACCAGGGCATTGTCAAACCCAGTCTGATCCATCCTGAAGATCCACCAAAACCCACTTCCAGAACCGGGAGCAGTTTTGAACGATCCTGAGGATCCACCAAAACCCACTTCCAGAACATATTATTCAAGGTGAATATGAACAATAACAACGCATTCGGGAAATAATACAAAATATTTGAAATCTAGCGTGAATTTTACATGATTTAAATAATACAAATAGATTTTGCTAAATAAAATTTGGCGTGAATCCCCTAGTGCGTCACGACTTTTGAATTTAGTCTCCAAGTCAAGCTTTAAAGCGTTTTGCCGTCCAAAAGGTTCAATGATGCAATCAATTGAACAATCAAATGTTTTTACTACAATACTATTTAGTACTATGTAGTTAGAGTCTACAGCAGTTCAATTCTGTTGTTTTTAGTACTATTTAGTACTATTTGGTACTATGTAGTGTAGAAAAACATTACCCACAGTTGCCCAGAACCATTGAGGGGATTTAGTACAATTTAGTACATTTTAGTAGTGGTTTAGTACTTTTAAGTACTTGTTCTGCAAAGTACTTGAGGAGTACTAAAAAGTTGCTTAAGACACTATTACTATATTTGAAGCAGTTGAGGAGTTATAGGACTTCGAAAATGCCTGAAAATATCGTTTGGTGACCAAAAGTGATTTTGAACCCATAAAGTGGACTGAATGTGATTTTTTCGAGTGGATGTATCAAAAGAGTTGTTAGGTTTTTCTCTGGCCACAATTTTGCCGAAGATAGTAAGTCAAACAAAAGTATACTGTCTGAGTTATGGTCAAAAAATAGGAAAAATCAACTGAAAAATCGACATTTTGTCCCACAGTCTCCATCCATGACCTCGAATTTGCTATCATTTTTATAGAGGCTATCATTCTGAACAATTTTGCTCAAGACAGTATTGAGAAATTTCCAACGGTTCGTGAAATAAAGCCGAAGAAATTTTTTTTCAAAAGCTTACAAAATCAAAAAATCGTACAAAATGTATACCGCCATAAAAAAAATTGTGACGTGCTGGGGACAAACTAATGATGGGGTTTTGCTAGATTTGCCATCTACTTTTACCCTATAACAGCTGTTTGCTCAGTCCTAGTGTTGCCAAATTTTGTTGTACAGTGTAGCCGCTACACCTTCACGATCATGTGAGCCAGAGTGTTGCAAACGAACAACCACAGGTGAATCAAATAATCTCGTGAAACTTAATCACTTTATTTATAATTCCAAAAATAAACCACCATTGTAGTTGTTTGCTGCAAGGAGAACCCGAAATGTTGCAAAGAAAAGTGCTGCGAACAAACCTGTTGCTGAAGAAAACGTCGTTCATGCAAAACATCATCGTCATCATGCTGTTGCTAGACTTTGGGCTAGGGGTTTCACGCAACTTAAAATTCATCTAAAATTTCAATATTTCTCTCTTTTCTCTAAAATTCCCTGGGATTCACCAAAATCCGTATTATTTCGAAATATTTCAACATTCACCTTGAAAATTATGTTCTGGAAGTGGGTTTTGGTGGATCCCCAGGATCGTTCAAAACTGCTCCCGGTTCTGAAGTTGGGTTTTGGTGGATCTTCAGGATGGATCAGACTGGGTTTGACAATGCCCTGGTCCATCCTGAGGATCCACTTCCAGAACCAGGAGCGGTTTTGAACAATCCTGAGGATCCACCAAAACCCACTTCCAGAATTTTTAGATTCAAAAAATTCTAAAAAATTCGAGTTTATGAACAAAAAGAAGCAATATCTATAGTTTACACATAAAATGGTTTTATTTCCAGCTATTTAGTAAAATCTTCGGCCTTCGAGTTTGCGTGAAACCCCTAGACTTTGGGTCGACCACCGATCAACACAGGAAAACCGACCCGTTTGACTATACTGGAATCACCAGGCAGCCCAGTTCAGAATGATTTATTCTATTTATTGTTGAATTCTATTTGCACACATCTAATTTTCAAAAAGTCCAAAATAAACAATTAACTTATTTTAAAATATGTGTTTCTCTCCACTGAAATCTATTATCATCTCTTAGTCAACAACATAGGGGTATTGCAACGACCATAACATATATGTATTTCATCAAGTTTATCAAGCTCTTTCCAAGTTTATGCATAGTGTCGAACATTTGTTCAAGCTCTACCATCTAAATGTACAGTAAAATAATTTACGGGCACGACGTAAGATGGTGTTTTTTCTGGTAAAAAAAGTTGCAATATCCCTTTTGTCAACAATATCATTGTCGCAATACACAAGCATTACTGTTTGTCCAAATTGTTTCTTACTCGAACAAACAATTTTAAAGATTGCTCAATACACACAGGGTTTTTGCCTATCTGTTCAATGGAAATTCCTTTATTAAATCATTTTATTAAATTATAGATTGAGTTGTGACATTTTTATTTGAAACGCTAAAATTTTCAGGCAAAACCAATACTTTTCCTTACAAACTATATTTTCGGAAAAGTAAACTCTCAGAATATTAATTTTTGACACGATGATAGCTTGTGCCCATGTTAGTGTAGTCTAAAAAAAATTATGTCAACTTTTTGCCGATTCCCGGTGCTTAATTGTTATTTCGCCTCAAAAAAATAAGTTTGTGCTTGTCAAATACCCACCCTACAAAACAAAATCCTTTTGCAAATTTCATAGGCGGAAAGTCTGTCCAGTGATTTCGAAAGCGATTTTATATTGACAATATATATATTCCAGCCCCATTTTCGCCACAAACCGCTACTAGGGTTTTGTTAAGCGCACTAAAATCTACAACTTGCACCAAGACATCAGCCCATGAAAAAGCATTCTGGAAATTTTTCGGCATTTTCTATATTTTTTGCTCTACAAGTCACCCAGGTGGTAGACTTTTGTTTAGTTTTGGACCTGTGTAGTGTAGCTAGAACCTGCATGAAAATTTTGGTACTTATCAGATTGCAATTTGGATAGAATTTGGCGACAATTATTTCAGACATAAAAAAACTAATTTCAGGCCAAAATGAGCAAATCACAAACATGAGCTTCGGTTTGGCAGATAAAAGTAAATGATTTCTGCCTTTGCCACCTTTGGACCTTTCTACGTTGTTTTGTGCAAAGGAAGTTGTTGTGCGTCAATGGAGCAACAAATTGTTTTCGTTAAATATTTTAATCTTTAACACGCCTAAACATTATGGTTTTCTTCACTCAATGACCATGGAAAACTATTGTGAAATTCAAACTAAACCAATTCCAACAACCTGCAGGTTGATTACTGAGAAAAAAATACATTTACCAATAAACAAGATTGTATAAATGGAAAATCATTCGGCTTTTATTGTGGATTTTAGTAAATTGGCGAAATCTTCCATTTATCTCTCTTTTGAACAGAATATTCTTGCCATCTTTTAAACATTTACCTTTTCATTTAATCGATAATATTGCTTCAGTTAAAATATGTGTCGAAGTCGCATCGATGGAATTGCTTTTGAAATTAACAGCGACGCGATGAAGACATTGACTTCTTCCTCAAGATAAGAATGGAAACTCAAAATTCAAAACACCCCGAACAATTTCGACTGACGAAAAAAATCACAATACACACAATTCAATGTATTTATGTTGTCGTTAGCTCGACACATGCTCTTGTATACAAATTATTCAATTATTTCAGATCAAAAAAGATTGTTATTTATTCATTAAAAATATTGCCATGACTTTACAAAGTTCTAACATCAATACAATCTAAACTTATTGGAGAAGTAGGTTCCGTATAGGATACAACTGATCCACACACTCAGACAAATTCGAAGAGTTGTCCAATTTTACTTGAAGGCAATGTTAAAATTTGCCGCCTATTGATTGGTACACTAATTTTAATAACATTTCAGTGAATTTTTGCTGCTTGAATTTTGCTAATTTGTATGGCTTTGTTTATTTCTTTACCCAGGATCAATCGATTTTTCGAATCTGTCATCATTGTATAATGATCACCGTCTACAATAATAATGTTTAAATCGGCTGAAGGAATGTATTTTTCCCAGCCCACCTTCGGAGGGTTGAACAATTTCTCAGAACTATTTTTATTGCTCTTATCAACATTGTCCAAGTCAGCAAAAGTAGACAATGAATGATGATTTGCTGCTTTAAATAAATGTATCTTAATAGGTAATGAATCGATCTTGACCGATGCACACATATTTTGAAAATTGTGACGTTGTTTCGAGAGCAATGTCTCCCATTCAAAATCGATATTTTTTATTCCGATATTTATCTTTTTTACCTCGTCTATTGCTTCATTGAGAGTCAATTTGCTGACACGTGTCCACCATTTCGAATCATTTATCACTTTGATAACGGGAACTTTAAGCATTAAATATGATAAAAACGTTTCCGTTTCGGTGCGTGGATTTGTGTTAGTTGGATAAGTATCGATTAAGCCCAAAAACGAAACAGAACCACCACTTTTTAAAAGCTGTTTTGCCATTTCATAGGCTAGAATACCACCACTGGAGTATCCAGCAATAGCATAAGGGCCATTTGCCTGTATTTTTCTCATAAGAGTAACCATTACATAAGCCATTTCTTCCATGGATGACGGCAATTTATTCTCTGGTGGAGACCACGGTAACACATAAATAGGAATATTTTTATCGATGTCATTGGCTAGTTCAAACGCATAAGAAATATCTCCCCATCCATCTGGCAACAGAAATAGAGGTGTTTCATATCCATGTTGACGAACTGGAATAGCAGCATCAGAATAAAATCGATTTGTATGGTGAGTTATTTGTTCTGCCAAATCTTTGAGTACTGGAAAGGAAAATACACCACGAGCATCAATGTGGATATTATAGAGCTTAACTTTGTTAACAAACTGCATCACAAGAAGAGAATGACCGCCCGATTCGAAGAAATTGTCATGTCGACTGATACGATCAATGCCAAGCAGTTCACTCCAAATGTCGGCCAGTTTTTCTTCCATTTCACCCTGTGGAGCTTCATATTGCTGACGAACAAACGCCTCATCATCCGGAGCTGGTAGTGCTCGCCTGTCTAGCTTGCCATTTGGTGTGAGCGGTAAAGATGACAAACACACATATGCCGCTGGTACCATATATTCAGGCAGTAAGTTTGATAGAAATGTGCGCAAATCTCGTGCTAATGATATATCTGCGTTGGTCACCACATAAGCAACAAGTCGGGCATCTGATCCATTACCATAGGGTTGAACAACGGCCTGATGCACTTGAGGATGTTCGACTAGGTGGGCTTCAATTTCACCGAGCTCAATTCGGAATCCACGGATTTTCACTTGTTGATCAATACGTCCCATATATACCAAATTTCCATCAGACAAATATCGTGCTCGATCACCGGTACGGTAAATGCGCGCTTTTGGATTGTCACTGAATGGATCGGGTAGAAAACGTTCTGCTGTAAGTTCAGGACGGTTTAAATAGCCACGTGCCACACCAGCACCACCAATATACAATTCTCCTTCAGCTCCTAGTGGTACTGGTTCGCCATTTGAGTCTAGCACATATGTACGACAATGGAATGGAAGCGGGCGGCCCATCGGTACTGGGTCACCATCGAAATCTTTGGGACATAACCAAAACGTTGCATTGACAGTTGTTTCAGTCAGGCCATATACATTATAAACCACAGTTTGGCGACTAGCGGCTGATATTAAAGAAAAATTCGGGGCTTCGTTACCTAAAATCAATACTTTCAAGTCATTTAAATCGCTCAGGTTTTTTGTGTTGCGGAAAAGAGATGGGCCCAAATCTGCATGAGTAATTCCTTTAGCTTTTATGTACTTAAGCAGAGCAGTGTCTGTGAGTCTCTCTTCGACATTTGGCATACACAATCTGGCTCCAGTCGTTAGAGCCAATACGATTTCCCAGATACTGTTGTCGAAAGAGCAGGAAGCGAACTGAAGGACACGACTGTTAGGACTCACTTCGAATCGTGGTATGGTTTGGACAAGACTGAACAACGACCGATGTTCAATCATCACTCCTTTTGGTGTTCCGGTCGATCCTGATGTGTAAATTACATAGGCTAGATGATCTGGGTTAAGTCCAAGCTTGATCGAATCTGGATTATCGTCTGGAAGTTCTGCAAATAATGTCCGATCTTGTATATTCAATACTAGCGGGTGATGATCTCTCAGTGCTTTGTGGCCATTAGTATCTGTCAACAAGAAGATAGGCTTCGCATCCTCTAAAATGTACGACAGTCGTTGACTCGGGTAGGCTAGATCCAGTGGTACATATGTACCACCAGCTTTTAAAATACCTAGCATAGTTACGATCATTGTTGTGTTGCGCTCAACACAAAGTGCGATACGGTCATCTGGTTTAACGCCCCGTTCGATCAGGTAATGTGCTAGTTGGTTGGCTTGGGCATTGAGTTTTGCATAACTCAATTCCTCTCCATTACATTCCACAGCAATAGCCTGTCCGTCGCGTTCTACCTGCGCCTCGAATAATTGATGAAGACAGCGGGCAGGTGGATAGTTAACCGTGGTTTGATTCCAGTTGTGCAGCAGCATCGTGCGTTCTTCAGGTGGAATTACTGTTAATGTCCTTATATGTTGCTGAGGTGTTAGTGCAATTGCATCGGCTAATGATTCCAGAGCTTGTTGCATATAGCCACAGATCCGAGCGGCTGACATTGGTGACTCGACCTGAACTGACAGGCACAAAGCAACGTCGCTGTCATCAAGCGACATGCATAACGGATAATTGGTTCGCCCCTCACCACCTAAGAAATTTACTCCAGGAAGTGACGCAGTGCCCTGCTCTATCTTCCGATTATGGCGATAGTTCAATATTGTGCTGAATAATGGCAAACCTGCTGGACACCCACTGCAGCGTTGTGCCAACACGAGTGGTGCATGTTCATATGCTAGCAATGTACTCAAGCGACCATGGGTATGGCGCACTGCGGTCTGGACACTCCTCTCATCAATATCTATTCGAATCGGTAGAGTGTTAATTGTCGGTCCCATTATATCATTGTTCCCTTCTCCGGTCTGCAAACGGCCAAGTAGCACGGTTCCGAAAACTACCGCTTCACGGCCGCTAGCTCGAGCAAGTACCTGTGCCCATGCTAAATGGCAAATACTAGCCAGACTGACCTGTAACTTCCGTGCATGCTCACGTAGCTGATCATTGAGTGTCTGTGGCAGCTTCAGATTTCCCTCGTTGATCTCAGTTCCATCCAGACCAATGTCACTCAGACCGAATGGCAAGGTTGGCTCGTCAATATCACCCAACATTTCAGTGAAGAATCGCATATGCTCATCTGGACTAGCTGCTTGTCGAGTCTGGGCCACATGATAACGGAATGGTGTGGGCGTTGTCAACTCTTCTATCTTTTCGTCGATGATGACATGCACTTCTGCCATTAGTTTCTCCAGTGTTGAATGATCAGCAATAATGTGATGCATCAGTAATAGTGCCACCCAGCTCTCATCAGATGTTGGCGCAGTCATCAAACGCAATAGCGGTGCCTGTGTCAACTGTAAACGGTAGTGACGCGGATTGAATTGTTGACACAGTTGTTCTAGTACCAATTCACCAGTGTCATCATCCAATGTAATCTCGGTGAGTAACGATGGAATCCGGCGCAAAACGACCTGTGCGGGTTCATTGAGACCTTCCCAGATGAAGACAGTGCGCAGAATATCGTGTCGTGAAACTACCTGTTGCAAGGCATCCGTATAACGTTCAAGTTCCGTCCGGTCAGTAAAACGCATACGATTTATTAGTAGGTATGGGTCACCGCGTTCGGCTTTTACATGGTGGAACAACATACCGTTCTGTAAAGGCGCCAATCCATAAATGTCTTGAATATTTGCTATTCCGCCTGGTACCTGTGCAATAACTGCATCAATTTCAGCCTGAGACAGCGTGATGAATGGTAACATATCTGGAGTAATGGCAGTGCTGTCTGTGGTTATCAGATTAAGAGGAATATTCATGGCCTGGTAATGGGCAAGGCTCGAGGCTAATGCGGCCAGGTTGGGAGCATCAAACACTTCTCTTACGGTGGTGTCCAGTCCAATCCGCCTCAACTCTGATAAAAGCCGTACGACCAACAAAGAATGGCCTCCTAGCGCAAAAAAATTGTCATGTCGACCAATGCGTTCAATACTCAACAGTTTACGCCAGATATTGGACAGTTTTTTCTCCATTTCACCCTGTAGAGCTTCATACTCCTCACGAGCAAATGACTCTTCGTCCGGAGCAGGGAGTGCTCGCCGATCCAGTTTACCACTGGTTGTAAGTGGTAGGGACGGTAGACACACAAAAGCCGCTGGTACCATATACTCAGGCAGTAAAGTTGATAGATACGTACGTAAATCTTGTGATTTTAATGTGTTCGCATCGGCTACTACATATGCTACTAGACGAGCATCTGATCCATTGTCGTGGTGTTGTACAACCGCCTCGTGCACCAGATGATGTTCGATTAGACGAGCTTCAATTTCACCAAGCTCAATTCGAAAACCACGGATTTTTACTTGCTGATCAGTGCGTCCCAGATAGACCAAATTACCATCAGGCAAATAACGTGCCCGATCACCGGTACGATACATGCGTGATGCTGGATTATCACTGAATGGATCGGGTAGAAAGCGTTCCGCGGTAAGTTCAGAACGGTTTAGGTAGCCACGTGCTACACCAGCACCTCCAATGTACAATTCTCCATCGGCTCCTAGTGGCACTGGCTCGCCATGTTGATCCAGCAGATAACTTCGCTTGTTGGATAGTGGGCGGCCGATTGGTGTCAGCGAGTTTTCAGAAATTGTGTTATCACAGATCCAGTTCGTTGCAAAAATCACAGTTTCAGTAGGCCCATACATATTTACCAACACTGTTTGAATTTTATCATATTTCTCATACCAGTCCTTTACAATTGATGGTTCTAGCGCTTCACCACAAAATATTAAATAGCGTAGTTGATTGAATTGCGAACAGATCTTCTGCGCTCGCATAAGCATTCTGAATACCGAAGGGGTTTGAGTTAGTACAGTAATACCGCTGGTACAGATCCAATCATAAAATTCGTCTGTAGAACGGGTGAGTTCAGATGGTACAATCCATAATTGATTTCCATTTAATAATGCTCCCCATATCTCCCATACGGACAAGTCAAACGAAATGGAATGGAACAAACACCACTTGTCCTGTGTGTTAAAATCAAATTTATCATGTACCGATTGGAATAGATGTGCTGCATCATGATGTTCAACCATAACTCCTTTCGGTGCTCCTGTTGAACCAGAGGTGTAGATAACATAAGCCAAATTGGTTGGAGTGACTCCGAGCTTTTTAGCGTCCGGATTATCCATTGGTAAATCGACGGGCAACGGTTTGTCCAAGTCGATCACTGGCACTTGATGGTTTCCGAGTGCACTTCGGCCAGCAGCATCTGCTAATAGAAATATAGGGTCCGCATCCAGTAAAATATTGGCCAGTCGTTGACTTGGATAGACAGGATCAAGTGGTACATACGCAGCGCCGGCTTTTAGAATACCTAGCATTGCTACGATCATTGTTGTACTACGCTCAACGCAAAGTGCAACGCGATTATCTGGTTTAACGCCTCGAGTAATTAGGTAATTTGCCAATTGGTTGGCTTGAACATTGAGTCCTGCGTAGCTTAGAGTCTTTCCTTCACACTCCACGGCGATCGCCTGTCCATCACGTTTCACCTGAGCTTCTAATAATTGGTGGAGACAACAGTCAGATGGATAATCGACCGTGGTTTGATTTAAAGTGTGCAGTAGTAATGTGCGCTCTTCTGGCGGCATCACAGCCAATGATCGAACTGGTTGTCGTGGCTTGTGAGTTAGAGCGTCGGCTAGCGATACCAAGGCTTGTTGCATGTATGCACCGATTCGAGCTGCTGACATTGGTGAAATTATTTGAGCTGTCAGTCCTAGTGAATCACCATCATCTTCAACCGAGAGCGCCAATGGATAATTAGTTCGCTCCTCTTCGCCTAAGAAAGTGACTCCAGGAAGTGATGCAGTGACCTTCAATCTCTTCTGATTATGGCGATAGTTCAGCAATGCACTGAATAGCGGCAAACCAGCTGGTACTCCGCTGCAGCGTTGTGCCAACACAAGTGGTGCTTGTTCATGCGCCAGCAAAGCACTCAACCGAGCATGGGTACGGCGTACTGCAGTCCCGACAGTGCTCTCATCAATATCTATCCGAATCGGTAGGGTGTTCATCATCGGTCCCATTATATCATTGTTCCCTTCTCCGGTTTGCAAACGGCCAAGTAGCACAGTACCAAAGACTACTGCCTCACGATTACTAGATCGAGAAAGCACTTGTGCCCAAGCCAAATGACAAATACTAGCCAGACTGACCTGTAACTTCCGTGCGTGCTCACGTAGCTGATCATTGAGTGTCTGTGGCAGCTTCAATTTGGCTTCGTGGATCTCAGTTCCAAAAGTAACGTCGCTCAGACCAAATGGCAAGGTTGGCTCATCAATATCACCCAACATTTCAGTGAAGAATCGCATATGCTCATCTGGACTAGGTCCAAGTCTAGTCTGGGCCACAAAATGACGGAATGGTGTTGGCGTTGGCATCTTTTCAATCTTTTCGTCGATGATGGCATGAACTTCTTCCACAAGTTTCCCCGTTGATGTATGGTCACTAATTATCTGATGAATCAGTTGCAGGGCCACCCAGCTACCTTCAGATGTTTTTGAAGCCATCAGACGCAATAGCGGTGCCTTTGTCAACTGTAAACGATAGTGACGCGGATTAAATTGGTGACTCAATCGCTCTAGTACCGATTCACCAGTGTCATCATCCAATATAATCTTGGTGAGTAACGAAGGAACCCGGCGCAAAACGACCTGTGCAGGTTCATTGAGACCTTCCCAAATGAAAACAGTGCGCAGAATATCGTGTCGCGAAACAACCTGTTGCAAGGCATCCGCATAACGTTCAAGTGCCATCCGGTCAGTAAAATGCATACGATGTAGAAGAAGGTATGGGTCACCGCGTTCAGCTTTTATATGATGAAATAATATACCGCTCTTAAACGGCGCTAGCCCATAAATATCTTGAATATTCGCTACTCCGCCAGGTATCTGTGCAATAATTGCATTAATCTCAGCCTGAGACAGAGAGATAAGCGGGAGCATTTCTGGTGTAATCTCCTTGCTGTCTGCAGTAATAAGATTGGGCGGAATTTCCACTGCTTGATACCGAGTGAGAGTCGCAGCTAATGTGGCAAGACTAGGAGCATCAAATACTTCCCGTGCAGTGGTGTCCAATCCGATATGTCTCAACTGTGCCAATAATCGTACGACCAACAAAGAATGACCTCCAAGTGTAAAAAAATTGTCGTGTCGGCTGATGCGCTCAATGCTAAGCAGTTCACACCAGATATCAGCCAGTTTTTCTTCCATTCTACCCTGTGGATATTCATAATGCTGTCGAGCAAACGCCTCATCGTCCGGAGGTGGTAACGCTCGTCGGTCTAGCTTGCGATTAGGTGTGAGCGGCAAGGAAGGTAAACACACATAAGCTGCTGGAACCATGTACTCAGGCAATATGTTCGTTAAGTATATGCGTAGAATTTGGACCAGAGATCTGTCTTTATCAGCCACAACATAAGCAACGAGTCGAGAATCTGCTCCATTGCCATATGATTGTACAACCGCCTCGTACACTTGAGGATGTGCCACTAGATGAGCTTCAATTTCACCAAGCTCAATTCGGAAACCTCGGATTTTTACTTGCTGATCGGTACGTCCCAGATATACCAGATTTCCATCAGGTAAATATCGTGCTCGATCACCGGTACGATACATGCGCGCTGCTGGTTCGTCACTGAATGGATCGGATAAAAAACGTTCCGCGGTCAGTTCAGGGCGGTTTAGGTAGCCACGAGCTACACCAGCACCACCAATATAAATTTCTCCCTCGGCTCCTAGTGGCACTAGCTCGCCATGCGTATTGAGCAGATAGATTCGTTTGTTGAGCAGCGGACGACCAATTGGTACTACTGGCAGATTTTCAGAATTGTTGTGATCACAAACCCAAAATGTTGCATCAACAACCGTTTCGGTCGGGCCATATACATTTACTAACACTGTTCGTGTTTCACCGTATTTTCGTTTCCAGTCCATTACAATCGATGGATCTAATGCTTCGCCACCGAAGAGAACATATCGCAGTTTGTTGGATCTCGAACTAATGTTCTTCGCAAGCATAAGCATTTTAAATGCCGACGGGGTCTGTTTTAGTACAGTAATTTCTCTATTGCAGATCCAATCATAAAATTCGTCCACGGAACGGGTGATGGTGTACGGAACAATTGACAGTTGACATCCATAGCATAATGCACCCCATATCTCCAGTACGGAAGAATCAAAAGAAAACGAACTGAACGAACACCACTTATCCTCTTTAATAGTGTCAAATTGGTCGTGTACAGATTGGAGTAGTTTCGATGCATGGTGATGTTCAACCATTACTCCTTTCGGTCTTCCTGTTGAACCAGAAGTGTAAATGACATAGGCCAGATGGGTTGGAGTGACACCAAGGTGGTTTGCGTCTGGATTTTTGATCGGTAAGTCGTCAGACAACGATTCGATTATGTCAAGCACTGGTACTTGATGGTCTCCGAGAGCTTTTCGGCCAGTTGTATCTGCCAACACGAATTTTGGCTCAGCATCTTCTAGAATCTGGGTCAATCGTTGACTTTGATAGGCCGGATCGAGTGGTACATATGCACCACCTGCTTTAAGAATTCCTAGCATTGCTACGATCATTGTTGTACTGCGCTCAAAGCAAAGTGCGATGCGATCATCTGGTTTCACACCCCGTGAGATCAGGTAATGTGCTAGTCGATTGGCCTGGGCGTTGAGTTTTGAATAGCTTAACATCTCTCCATTACATTCAACGGCGATCAGATGTCCGTTGCGTTCTACCTGCGCCTCGAACAATTGGTGAAGACATTGGAGCGATGGATGGGTAACCGTGGTTTGATTCCAGGTATGCACCAGCATTGTTCTTTCTTCCGGTGGAATTACTTCTAATGTCCTAAGCTGTTGCTGAGGCGTTTGTGTTAGCGCATCGGCTAGTGATTCCAGAGCTTGTTGCATATAGGCACAAATGCGAGCTGCTGACATTGGTGAAAATGCTTGAACAGAAAGATGCAAAGCGACATCGTTGTCATCAAGCGACATAGTTAACGGATAATTAGTCCGCCCCTCACGGTCAAAGAATTTTACTCCAGGAAGTGATGCAGTGACCTGACCACTCTTGTGATTATGGCGGTAGTTTAGTATTGCGCTGAATAGTGGCAGACCTGCTGGACACCCACTGCATCGTTGTGCCAACGCAAGCGGTATGTGTTCATGCGTCAGCAAAGCACTCAACCTAGCATGGGTATGACGTACTGCAGTCTCAACACTTCTCTCATCAACATCTATCCGAATCGGTAGGGTGTTAATCATCGGTCCCATTATATCATTGTTCCCTTCTCCGGTTTGCAAACGGCCAAGTAGCACGGTACCAAAGACTACCGCCTCACGATCACTAGATCGAGAAAGCACTTGTGCCCAAGCCAAATGACAAATACTAGCCAGACTGACCTGCAACTTCGGTGCATGCTCACGTAGCTGATCATTGAGTGTCTGTGACAGCTTCAATTTGGCTTCGTGAATCTCAATTCCAAGAGTAACATCACTCAGACCAAATGGCAAGGTTGGCTCGTCAATATCACCCAACATTTCAGTGAAGAATCGCATATGCTCATCTGGACTAGCTCCTAGTCGAGCCCGGTTGCATTTAGCTTCAACACTAATGGACATGATTGCGATGATACCGTTTTTTGTTTAGTCCTTTTCAAATGCCCAAAAATAAAATTGTCCACCTACAAAATTAAAAAGAACGAAAGTTTATTTTGTTGCTGTTTATAACTTAAATGTACTTAAAAATTCAAAAACTTGAACAAGTATAGTTTTTGTTGAGACGGCAAAGTGTTTCTTATGTGCCGAACACTCTCTAGTAATTCATTCCATCACTGTAGCCATGCTTCGTACGGAACTCGGCTTTGAGCATTCGGCGCATACATACACGCATACATGCGTGTGTCTGTGTGCTGATTTCGTTTGTATGAAACACGATGAACGACGATGTGCATGCGAAAAAGTCCGATGTGCAAACAGCACGGCTGCACAACTGCTTTCTGTGCGATGGATTTTGTTGAGTACACTTTCAAGTCCATTGGAATGGTGATTCATTTTAATGGTGGTTTTGGTTGTGATGTGGTTTTGGAGTGTTAATAAAGTGATAAGGAGCGCGAATTTCAATGTGCCGATAACACCAATGGATTGGGCAGACACAATACTATATTAGAATCGGAAAAAAAATTATAAACTTCTTTCGATTTTTGCCTGTGTTCGAACATTTTTGCTTTAATTAAAGTGAAACACGATTTCTTTAGTCCACATATATTTTACGATTCACTTTCAAGCGAAGAGAATTAATGTTGCACTTTTAAAAAGCAAGAATATTGTGTTATGCTTATCCATAAGTAGTTCAACTTTAGTCCCAAAAAGGTTGGCCGATTTTCCCATTTTTTGGGCTGTTTCAAATTTTTACTTTTCCGTACACACCGTGTCAAGGGAAAGTATAGGAATTGGTCCCGAAAACTTTTTTCGCAAAATTAGCTTAGATCATCATAAAAACTCATGAAACGCATAGAAAACCACTTTTTAAGACACTTTCCCGTTCGTGTGCCATCGTCGTCGTTGTCGTCGTCGTTGGTGTTGGTGTTTGTTAACACGATAACTCAAAAAATAATTGAGATAATCAAAATCTGAAAGTCCCAAAAGTTTTGTATCCAATAAACTTAGTTTTAGTTCGAAGATGAGCCATTTTTGATTTGATCCTGGGGTACTTGCCCTAAGAAAAACCTCAAAAAATTGACACTTTTGTATGGGAGGTGCCCGAAAAATCGACTCCGATTGGCTTCAAACTTTCTGGGATTTCATTTTTTGGGACTAAAAATATCGCGTCACGACTTTTGGACGGCAAAACGCTTTAAAGCTTGACTTGAAGACTAAATTCAAAAGTCGTGACGCGATATTTTTCCTTATTGTAAATAAATTTTCACAATAGTGAATGCGAAAAACACTTTTGAACTTCGTACCCAGAGATAATACAGCGAAAAAATTTGAAAAGTTCGGACAAAACCCCTTGTCCGTCCGTCCGTCCGAAAAAAAATTCGGACATTCGGACCGGACGTCCGAAATTTTTTTTTGGTTTTCGGACATTCGGACCGGACGTCCGAATTTTTTTTTCGGTTTTCGGACGGACGGACACTATTGTCCGAATTTTTGTCCGTGTCCGTTGACACCTCTAAGTACGCTCAAATTTCTGCACCAGGCGACTAATGGTGGACACATTTGGTCGATTATTTCGGCCGAAAAATTCACGAATTGCACGAAACGTATTTTGCAAAATAGACCCATCTTCGTAATGGGATTTAACGACTTGAACGCGTTGATCTTTACTTAATTTTGACATGGTTATAAATGGTATAGATGGACGCTTCAAACTGACATTCCAGTTTGACAGATCGGGGCATCCATCATGAAATCCCTATTGAAAAACTTTTTGCGTCCCTATTGGGACACCCTTTAGAATGCGACTCTACGTACAAATTCCGTTCATTGATGAATTGCCTATGCCCAGAACTTCGAAATACGAATTTTCCCGGATATGTGGCATATGTAATTTTGTTGGTATGGTGACCGGCTACAAACGCTCAGTTTTTGGTAAAAGATTGTCGGGCTGATTTTTGAGAAATCGCGTTTGGTGTGAAATTTAAGGGGGTCGATTTTTCATAAAAATCGACTTTTTCCTTTTATATCACATAAACGTCGGCATGTGTGTATGGAACTTTTTGAAGGTCTTCTCAAATGATAACGAGCTGAGTTTGCCCGATGGGTGTCTGAGTTGATCTATTGTGCGAAATAAATACTTGAAAAAATCGTATACATGCAGGCTAGTGGAGCCATAGCCAGCTCTCCTGTAATGCAAATGTGAATCTGAGGACGGGTTTCGATGTGGCCCGACACCAGCTACAGCTCAGGTATATCGGCACCGGAATCTGTGGGGGTCAAATAGTTTCCGGACACACGGACGGACGGACGGACGCACAAATCAATACTTTCATAAAAAACCATGGTCAAACTGCCAATGCCCATAACTTTTTCGTTTTTGAACCAATCGGGGCACTTAGACCGGCTTTGGAAAGGTGGCGAGGAGGAGCTTCTCTTGGACACTTCAGACCACCCCCTGGCAAAAAACTGGCATTTTTGATATTTGGCTTGAAATGCACAGTTGTTGGAGCGTCACTTGTCGGACTATCGTCCTCCGTGATGTACTGTACTTGTGTATTGCAGTATTTCACTTTTGTATTCATTTATTTCAATATTTTTATTCTTGACTTTGAATTATAGGCGCCTTTTATGATTTTTATATCATTCTTGAATGATTCTCAAGTTTGTTTCAACAATCTCTTACCTAACACACTGCAAGTAGTCCAAAACAATGCAATTCGATCATTTTGTAGGTATAGTTACTATGCACTGAATCTCAGCACAGACCAGATTGGGGAAAGACAAAGAATACAACATAGTGTATGTCTGGCGAGTAATTCGGTATCAAATGAATTGATTTTATTCACTCTCCAACCCTTTCTCGATTGGTTTTTTCTCTTCTCTTTCTTTTACAAATGTTTTATCATCAATTATGGTGTATTTATTTTTACGAAATCCGACAGGATCATTCACTAAACAGTTTAATGCCTCGGTAAACATGTCTAACAAAGATTCTGGAAAGCTCTGAATGTCGGCAGTTTCCTCTATCCCTCGCCAATACTGCTTCTGATCATCTGGTAGTATAACATGCAGTTTTCTTTGGGAAATGCCTTTTCTCCTAAGACTTTCGACATATTTTTTGGTATCCTTCAACATATCGGCTTTTGAGGGCAATGGTTTGGCTCCAGAGATGAATTTCAATGCAAGACGTGCCTGTTTTTTTACAAATAGTATTCGATTAACATTTTGTACAAGTTTAAATGCCATAAAACAAAGACTATCGATCTCTATTACGTTTACCTGTAAATCAAACATGCGATTATTCACTGCGAATGTTGGTAGACCAACAAAAGCCATCGTAGGATGTTCAATGTTTATAATTTGCTTGTAAAGTGATTGGACATAATTGTCTTCAACACGAATACCGGTGTCAGCACCCAAAAATGGGTACACATAATTATAGCCTGAAAAATCAATACCCATGAGATTTCTTATCGATTTTAACACTTTGATGGTTCTTCACACTTTTTACCTATTTCTGTTCTTTGGGGACTCCAGGGCCCCATATGTACTTCATATGAAATCTTGACTGTTATAAGAGATAACAAATTAGTGTCTGAAGCAAAGTTGTAATACTCGAGGTTTGCTATAATTTTGTTGCAACAAATATTGCTTATCTCTTATCAGTTCCGTGAAAAAACGCGAAAAACCGCGAAAATCGCGAAATTTCCCCACTTTTTTTTTAGTGAAGCTGATAAGAAGTAAGAGACTTGCTTCTTCGGCAGAAATGTAGAACAGGTCGAATACTACAACTTTGATACAGACACCAAGTCGTTATCTCTTATCGGTTACGCGAAAAAATGATAAGAAAACATTCGCAGTTTTCGCGGTTTCCGCGTAACTGATAAGAGATAACGACTTGATGTCCATGGCGAAGTTGTAGTACTGAAGCTGATCTACAACTTTGCCGAAAATCATCTTGTTATCTCTTAACAGTTTCGTGGAATACGCGGGAAACCTCTGAAAACCGCGAAAAAACGCGTTTTTTCTTATCATTTTTCACGGAACTGATAAGAGATAACGAGATAGTGTCTATGGCAAAGTTGTAGCTCTGGTCGAGTACTATAATACCAAGTACCCAAGTCGTTATCACTCATCACTTACGCGAAAAAATGATAAAGAAAACATTCGCGTTTTTCACGGTTTTCTGCGGTTTCTCGCGCATTCCGCGAAACTGATAGGAGATAACGAGATGGTGTCTATACCAAAGTTGTAGAGCAGCTTGAGTACTACAACTTTGCCACAAACACTAAGTTGTTATCTCTTATGAGTTACGCGAAAAGCCGCCCAAAACCGTGAAAAACGCGAATTGTAGTACTTGACCAGAGCTACAACTTTGTCATAGACACCATCTCGTAATCTCTTATCAGTTTCTTGAAAAATGAGAAACTATGAATTCGTATTTTTCACGTTTTCGCGGCTTTTCGCGTAACTGATAAGAGGTAACGACTTGATGTCTACGGCGAAGTTGTAGTACATAAACTAGTCTACAACACTGCCACAGACACCAAGTCGATATCTCTTATCATAGTCCAGTTATAATATAAAATAGCCATGGGGCCCTGTGGTCCCCAAAGAACAACAGCGTAACATGTTTTTCAGAAGGCTGTATTTTACACATACTCACACATATGCATATGTGCGTATGTCATTCGTGTAGAGAAATGTTCAATCTATACAATGAGACTTAATTCCGGTTGGTTTATACACTGTTTAGTAATTTTATTCAACTTTAAAGTTCGCTTGGGGCCCTGGATTCCCCAAAAACCGACATAGTGTTAAGTTTGAAAATATTCTCAAATGAAGAAAAGAGTATGTTGTGCGTCAAACACGTAAAAGTTATTTTTCAATAGATTATCGCACACTGTGCGATACACACGTACACGCAGCGTAGTTGTGAACAAACGATCGTATTCGTGGTCGTTCGCGTTTGTCACGAATACGACCTGCAATTACATGCTATCAGTTATGTATTAGTGTATTAAATACCTGTTGCATAAATGATCACACTGAAATCTTGTTGTGATCCATCTTCGAATTTAGCTCCATTTGGTGTCAAACGTGTTACCTCTTTTTCTAGTGAAACAATATCCCCGAATTCATCTCTAAGCGATTCATACCCAAAGGCCGTTTGATCACATATGCTCAACGTTATTTGGTTCACAGTGTTTGCAAGGTGAATTACTAAATCGATACCACTTGGTCCACCACCAATGACAAGAACATTCTCCCCTGTTGAAATCAAACAGTCAAAAATTATCAATATAATCAAATGCTGGGTTGATTATTTCAAGAGACCAAATAAATGAATGTGCCTATCACTGGAAATAAATTCGATCAAGGATGTGTATGAAACTATCTGATCGGAATCTAAACGAAAAATGGGCTTGAGATTTTGCAATTAAAATACGTAAATTATTCAAACCATGGAAAGCTTCGGCTTTTCTGAAGTCGTGGCTGTGCATGATTTTTCCCTTGAATTCGCTGGCACCTTCAATTTGTGGATAGTTTGGTGAAGAATATATTTTGATGCAAACAAAAACCACGTCATACACTTCTGAATTCGTTTTTTTGTTCTGCATATCTCTAACAGTTACTTTCCACTTGTCGTCTTTTAATGAAACAACTTCTTCAACCAAATGATGGAATCGTATGTGTTTCTTCAAGTCAAAACGATCAGCATAGGAATTTAAGTAGTCTAATACGTCTTTTTGTCTTGGATACGACTTTGTTCCGTTTGGAAAATGGTGATCGGGGTATTCCATTACTTGATACGGTGAATTCGTTCTATCCGAAAGAAACAAATCAAAACTTGTCGAATTTAAACCATAAAATGATTGATTCTAACGCACCTCAGTTCCTCATACATCGCACTGTGAATATTTACACCGTATTCATCTTTGCCCGTTTCATCAGTATACACCCAAGTTCCACCAAGCGCCGCACCCTTTTCGTAAACGTCCACCTTGTGTCCTTGTTCGAGAGCATTTTTTGCACTAGTAAGCCCAGATGGTCCAGCACCGATAACAGCTATATTTAAAACGCCCGTTTCCTTACTATTCACCGTCATTTTATTTGTACTTTAAATTGAATGAACAGACTGAAATCACAGCACGAATGTATGAATAAAACCAAAATTACTTAATAAGTAAAACTGAAATTATTAAGCACTTGACAAAATATTATCATTTCATTCGTCACTTACGTCGAATGAATAGATGATAGAGACTGGTGAATTTTTGTTTGTTCCAGTGGTAGCTAGCAGTCGTTCAACCAGCTAATGACAACAACGTGATATTTGACGAACAGACATGATACTTATAAGTTTGATATTTGATATATGATTATAAGTTTGTTGAAAGTAGATTAGATATCAGATGAAAAACCTCTAGACGAGGTTGAAATGGAGTGACGCTCCGTGCATGGATTTACCACTCAAAATGACTGATATCATTTTGAGTGACGCTAGGACGCTGTATTACTGGGAACGAAGTTCAAAAGTGTTTTTCGCATTTACTATTGTAAAAATTTATTTACAATAAAGAAAAATATCGCATCACGACTTTTGGACGGCAAAACGCTTTAAAGCTTGACTTGAAGACTAAATTCAAAAGTCGTGACGCGATATTTTTCCTTATTGTAAATAAATTTTCACAATAGAGAATGCGAAAAACACTTTTGAACTTCGTTCCCAGTAATACAGCGTCCTAGCGTCACTCAAAATGATATCAGTCATTTTGAGTGGTAAATCCACGCACGGAGCGTCAGCCATTTCAACCTCGTCTAGTGGTTTTTCATCTGATATCGCTAATTTTGTAAGGCTTTTTTTGGAAAAATACATTTTTACCAGAAGTATGTCTATTTTAAGGTCTTATTATCAGGAAATTGCAATTTTCTGGGTAACACATTGGCATTCTAATTTCACAAGTTCTGGAGATTGCACTATCTAATTTCCACTACCATTGAAAAAGTCCCAATTTCCTCTAATTGCACATCCCGTGTGAAAAATTTGTGACTGACTAGCCAGCCGTCTAATTTCGGACTTTTTGGCTGACTATCAGTTACTAAAAGTGATTATCTCGAACAAAATATTCGACTGTAGTCAACTTCAGTTATAGTCATCTAGTATCCAAAAAGTCCGAAATTAGACGGCTGGCTGAAAGAATAACTAAAAGTGATTATTTCTATACAACATTCTTGAATTCAACCAACTTAGCCAGTTCTAGTTATTTGCAGCTACATACAACTGACTGTCAGTCACTTTATTTGCACACGGGATTATAAAATGCGGTAAAATATGATTAAATTTCAAAATAACCATAAAAAGAGTGTTGAAACGATTGTGGATTCTCATTATTTCATTAAAAAATATTAGTTCCCAACCACCAAAGCTCTGGAAAGTGCATTTTTTATGTATCTCCCGAGCAAAAGTTCAATTTCATACATTCAATTGCAAAAATGCTGATTTACGACCAAAATAACAACGAAATGGATATTCAAGTGTTTGAGGACTCCCATTATTTTCACGAAAAAATAGCAGTTTTCTAAGACCAAAATGACGTCAGAGGTCTATTTCACGTGTTTTCCGAACAAAAATATCATTTTCAGTGAAAATAGAGCAAGTTGAAAAATTCACTTCGATCCGACCTATTTTTCGACCATGAAATGCCCTTAGATCGCATTGTGACCACTTTTAATCGATTGCTCGTCGAGAATTGAGCGGATATGGTCTTTCGTGAGCCTTCTTCAGCCAGTAGATGCGTATTTTTGGCAGCGATTTCATCGTAGAATGCGACTCTTCGTACAAATTCCGTTCATTGATGAATTGCCTATGCCCAGAACTTCGAAATACGAATTTTCCCGGATATGTGGCATATGCCATTTGTTGGTATAGTAGGCTACAAACGCTCAGTTTGTGGTAAAAGATTGTCGGGCTGATTTTTGAGAAATCGCGTTTGGTGTGAAATTTAAGGGGGTCGATTTTTCATAAAAATCGACTTTTTTCTTTTATATCACATAAACATTGGCATGTGTGTATGGAACTTTTTGAAGGTCTTCTCAAATGATAACGAGTTGAGTTTGCCCGATGGGTGTCTGAGTTGATCTAGTGTGCGAAATATATACTTGAAAAAATCGTATACATGCAGGCTAGTGAAGCCATAGCCAGCTCTCCTGTAATGCAAATGTTAATCTGAGGACGGGTTTCGATGTGTCCCGACACCAGCTACACCTTGGGCATATCGGCACCGGAATCTGTGGGGGTCAAAAAAGTTTCCGGACACACGTACGGACGGACGCACAAATCAATACTTTCATAAAAAACCATGGTCAAACTGCCAATGCCCATAACTTTTTCGTTTTTGGACCAATCGGGGCACTTAGACCGGCGTTGGAAAGGTGGCGAGGAGGAGCTTCTTTTGGACACCTCAGACCACCTCCTGGGTACCCCCTTTGTAAGATATGGGTATAGATTTGAAAATTTATCGAAATTTTCCAACCGCTATATTTTTGCCTAGACCACACTTTAGGCATGGGGGATATGGTGTTTCCGACTATTTGGGCCAAGACCTTTCCAACGGTACCTAACATGCTGGGGCCCAAATAGTGCCCTGAGAAAATAGCATACTTACTGTATATATACTCGTGACGCAAAAACTGGCATTTTACTTTTCCGCAAACTTTGTTTGTATGGAAAAGTATTGGTTTTACTAGCCAAAATTTCATGTAATCTCCTCTTTCGGACCACTATAACGTCACGCCAAACTTCAGAAAGCACATATCTGTACAGTAGGCAATGTAGATGGGATGAAATCCTATCGATCAAGACCTATCTTCCCCCAAAAACATGTTGCTTACTATGAAATATGTGCAAAATAGCGATGTGCGTATGGCGTCGTTCGCGTCCGCGTTCGCGTCCGAGATTTTTGTTCGCCGGTTATCTCAAAAAGTTGACAAGATAATTGAGATCTGTAAAAGCCAAAAGTTTTGGCATGTCGAGACAAAGCTTCGGATTGATTTTGAGCCCATTCTGATTTACCAATTTCGTACCATAAGCCTCCGACTGAGGACCTAAAAAACTTTGAAAAATGACACTTTTGTACGGGAAGTACCCGAAAAAAGCATTACAGTCATTTGTCGAATGGTCACCCCAACAAAAACAACATTTGGAAAAGTTCGGCATTGGATCAATAGCTGGATCATTCGACTTCTTTTCTTGCTTCTTCTTTGCGATGAATGGCTGGTTCAAATCTTCTAACACCGTTGCTCTTGATGCGGCATTTCATTTAAAGTGAAATTAAAATTCTGTTCACTTGAAAGTGAGTCGTGAAATATCTGTTGACCATAGAAATCATTTTAATGGTGGTTTTGGTTGTGATTTGGTTTTGGAGTATAAATTAAGTGATAAGGAGATTCTCTCACTCTCTCCGATGCGTTGCAATTTCGCAATGTTTGTTTGTTGTCACCTTTCTTCTGTGTTATTTTCCATGCGCTACGGTTTCAGTGATATTTTCACTCTTTACATTGGCTCGTATACCGCTCGTTCATGGTGATGCTGTACAATAAGCAGAGCCCGATTACGATCTCTCTTAAATGCTAACAATTATAATTATGAACTCCTGATACTCTTCGTCGAAAGAACTTAATATTTTTAACCATTCATGCAAACATACTCTACTTTCGAAAACTAATGTGTTAAATTGAAGTATCGGTAACCGCCAGATGTACAAATGATTAGTTCTATTGATTATGTTTTCCTAATACTTAAATTCAAATAAATTAATAATATTCACCAATTTGGGCAAACCTACTCGCCTTTTCCAACAACCAAAGTCAGAAAAACAAACTCCTGTTTATTGGTATTCCAAACTAACAAAATATATACTCTTTTTTTTAACGCAAATTAAGGTTTATGAAACATACTCGCCCTTATCATAGCCACAAACAGTCAAAATACATACTCTATCGTAAAACATCCAAATTGTAACATAGTCTTAAAATAAACCACTTTCTAAGAAAATACAAATAAGTCATTCATATCGGAAGATTTTTTCGTGTTCTTCTCAAATTTGATATAAAAAACAACAGCTACCCTTCAGAGTTTTGCAGAAAATCAGTCTATTTTGTTCAATTGTTACAATTCAGACTATGTTACAATTTGGATGGTTTACGATACTTTAACTATTTTTAAGCCGAAAGAAACTTACTCTTCTCGTTCGTAACAAAGTCAATGAAACGTACACTACTCTCAATCTCACCCATAAATATATAAGATGAAAGCGGTCTGAACTTTTAAAAAGATTTTTCTATGTCTCTGCACATACGTACAAGAATATTCGCCGTTTCTCTTGAGCAGCTAGGGATACATACAGTAATGAAAAATAACTCAAATAAATTAGGTGAAATTGAATACTATTTGTGAAATGTCAATATAATTTCATTCGGCAGTCCATCATGGAATGTAAAGAAAATTCGATTATTTTATATGAGTTTCCTATTTAAAGACGATTTATAAATTATTTCGGGTGCAAGAATTCTAACAAAATGTTTATTAACAGCGACATGGATTGAAATATCGGTTGATTATATTTCAAACTAGCACGACTATGAAACAATTTTATGTTCAACGATGCTACCAATCAACTTGACCGTCACAGTTGATCGCGAACCTATATGTGATAAACACTCAAATGTGCGGGGGCATGAACTAGCGAATGCGCATTAGGAACGACTCGAGCATTCATTCGAACGAAAAGTAAATCCACACACAAACACACAGTCCGGTGAAATTCGGTAGTTGTTACAAAACACATGTGATATTTTGGAGGCTTGAGATCAGTCAAGTACCAGAATCATCGACGCACGGTTGTGTATATCATACGTGTTACCTTAAATCACATATGAAATTTGTTTTCATCCAAAATTGATGTCTAAATAAAAACGGAAAAATAAAATAACATATTTGCCACGAAAGAAATAAAAAAAAATTGAAAAAAGCAAGTTGAATAAATTTAGTGAATCGGTTGAAGTGTAAGTTTCATAGATGGATCATTTTTCATTCTAATAATAAATTCAACCCAGTCTGCGCAAAAAAATATCAAACATTTAGCCTGCTTTCTTTTTGTGATCCATATTTGCTCGTTTATCATTAATTCATTTGATGATCTTATCAAAACTTATCAATGTGGTATATTTCCGTCAGTGATCCGGAGTAAATGTTATTGTACAACTTTTTTTTTTTGAAAAGATGCAATAAGATATGAAAATTCATTTCTTAGTAAATATATTAATCTATAAATGGAGAATTATGCATAAATTTATTGATGTCGATCGAATTTTTATGAGCTTGAAATCAAACCATATCCAGTGACTTATAATTACTAATTTCAAAATCGTTTTATTAATTTTCTTGACGGAAAAATTGTGTGTGTAGTTCTTAAAATCATACGGTTGAAGAAGGGCCAAAAAAGCATTGACATTGAATATTGGTTGGGGGAATCCCGTGGGTTTGTTGCTATTTATGTCATTCAACGTCAAACGATATCACAGCTCCCAATCGAATTGAGCCCAAATCATTTACAGAAACACACTTTGAACAAAAAAGACTCAGATGTGACAAACAGCAAAGATGTTGCCGACGATTCGTCATGTGTGTCATTTTTAACGCGCCAAAAGCCATAATGTAAGCACTTTATTCACGGTTTTACATTTATGAATGGAGTTGGCGGTTGCGGTGGCGTAATTTGGTTTCGGTTATACAGTGAATTTAAATGTGATACGACATAGTCTTCTTTATAAATTGCCTATAAAATTGGGTAGCGCTCAATGAAATTACACGAATTAAAAGTGGACTTTTACACTTTTAACAACAACTTCAACACATATTTTTTTCTCAAATTTTATTGCCATAACTTTTTTCCAAAATCATTTGACTTCAAGACTCACAGTTATTAAAATAGAAAAACTAAATAATGTTAGGAACGATGACAAATATTTATGAAGAAAAAAAAATGGGATAAATATTGCGGATTTTTGAACATTTTCATGCCGAAGAGGCCTTGAAAACTAGAAAACTATGACAGCTACCTTTCAAACCATAGACAACAAATCATTTGCATTTGTGTCACGCCCACTCATTTATGAACTAGCTTCACACTTGTTTATGAAACACAATATATTCTATGTCGACACTCAAAATAACGCTGATTGAAGTGCCATTCAAACTATTTCATCATATTGAAAAGGGCTTACAGTGTAAGCCTTACACTTTCATCAAAATAAATCGATCTCAATCGCTTTTGTTTGGATAGTTTGTTGCTACATCTGAAAACAGTGTGTGAAAATTCGCGTAAATAACAAAAAAAAAAATCGCCATTAGTTTTGCTACATTTTTATTCTGCTTGATTTACTTTGCCTAGAGCAAATCGAGACATATTCTGTTTCTTTATATTTGTTTTTAAATTTGTTGATGGTTGTCTCTTGTTTTTTTTTTTCTCATTCTATATTGATTTTCTTGATCTTTGCCAATTTTCAAGTTCAACGAACGATGTTTACATCTCAATGGCGTATTGCAAAAATTGAAAGTGTGCTTGGCGCACGAATCTTATTTTTCATCATTGAACATTGGTTTTTGTGTAGTTTTCTCAAGGTAAACTAGTTTTGTCGTTATTTCTAGCCGGTGGATTGTTATGTTTGATCGTGAATTCGAGACTTGGGAAAATGTGAGCTCAAAAAAGAGTGCAAAATAAGATATCAATTTTGATTGTAGCTCAACATGGAATTGTCACAAAAACGGATTTGTTTCGATATTACCAATGAAAAAAGGGCCATAAAATACTAAAATTTCAGTGCATAATGTGGATACACTTGCAGGCACATAAATATATATTCAATATCAGTCAAATTTTACTTAAGTAAAAATGTTTTTTATACATAAAAAAAGAAGGCAGAGCTGACAACTTAGTCAAGTGAGCGGTGGGGACGCTGAAACTTATCATATTTGACCAAAATCCGGTCGATTTATACACATACGTATTCTATACTGTATTTGGTCTTATTCTTCCGATTCGGGATGAATGGAGTTACTATTCACCATTCGCAATTTCAAAGTAGAGATTCGAAAGAATCAAAAAAAAAGTACGATAGAGATTTTGGCGGTGACATATAACGTATTCGCTCGCACTAATGACAGCTAGTACATGATCAGCAGTTAGTGCGAGAGAGAGAGACAAAATTTGACAATGCCAATATTTTGTGAAAATCTCAGTCGCTCTTTAGAGAATAATATTGAAGACTTATGTGATTCATTTCGTTTCTATCGCCGTTTTTTTTGTATAAAACTGACCGCGATGTCAAATCATTTTGAAATGATAATAACAAAAAAAAATTCGTTCTTTTTCAAATAAACAAATCACCATATAGAAATTTTCATTTTTTTCTTAACTCGAATTGAATTAAAATAAAACTGATTTATTGTCATACTTTTTTATGACTAATGACTATAGAAAAGATGGCGAGTACGGGGCTTACTGACTATGATATCAATAATAAACCGGGTAGGTGTTGCAATGGATAAGTTTTCAATTTGATATTTGTAAGAAGTTGAATAAGCTTGAATTTAATTGTCAATTTTAAACGAATTTCATAGTCATAATTTATTTATATTTTACGCGAAAAAAATCAATTTTACTCTCGATTTCTTTCAGATGAATTACTGAACGATGTAAAATCGACGGTTAAAAAGGCTACCGTTCATTTAAATTCATCTAATACAAGCTATGACATCAATAAACCAAGTATGGATCACAGTTTTTAATTTCAATTTTAGTTGTTCAATTGTAAAAACGGCTGAAATTTAAATTTATATTTCTTATTTCCCATTTTTCCTCATAGATAATCTATTGGAGGATGTAAAATCGACGGTGAACAAAGCTTCTGCACATTTAGCGAATGTAAAAGATAGAGGTAACAAAGAGTGAGTTGAAAAGGATCAATTTTTGCGTTTATTTCATTTTCCATTTATTTTCTTCAGATGGTGGAATCGACTCTGGTTTACTGTGAGTAAATTCAGCAATGTATTTTTCAATTTTTCCAATGTTTTCCGTTCCGTTTTACCCAAAGTGAGCCCTCAAGTGCAACAAAGACGATTTGCACCGAAACATCGACAACAACTGATGAATCGAAACCATCGACCCGTTCAGTATTGGGTTCACCAAGTTTGGTAAGAAAAGTGATGAACGAATCAAGAACACGTCAGCGAAGTCCAAGTCCCAAGGAACGCGACATTAAATTTGATACGGTCAATCGAAGTCCGAAAGCAAGTCGGGAGGTTAAATTTGATTCAGGGCCATTGATTGAGATCACACCAAATTCAACCACAACTCGTACGTACAACTATTCAAAAACAACCACACGCAATGCATCGCCATACAAAACGGAAATTGTGGAAATGGACACGACTGACCTGCCACCGGAATTGAAAGATGTCCCTATTTCGAATGATTTGCTACCACAACCGGGTACAAAAGTAACAACAACGGTACTTTTGATTTTTTTTTCCAGACTTTTTTACCCTTCTAATCTTCAAACTTGTTCATTTGAAAACTTTGTTTCTTTTTTTTTAGGTCAAAACTTTCTCATATGAAATTCCGGACGATACAAAAACACCAACCAACAAAAATTTCACATACAAAAATGAATTTTACAATTCATCAAAATCATCGAATACTTATTATCCAGACAGTGATGCCCCAATAAAAACATCAACTCAATTGAGTGAATCGCGCAACACTTCGGATCGAACGATTCCACCGTCAATTGGACCAAATCAGTCGTACTATTACAAAAAGGAAGTCAATGAAACGAAAAACAATGTGTATGGAGGATCACCACCGCCACCCGCTAATATGACCACCTCATTGTATGAACGAAATGAAACAAATGACACTCGTAATGTTTTTCATCCACCGGGTGGTACATCACATCAAAACGGTAATCTGCCACCAGGTGCTAAACAAACGTATTTGTACAAAAAAGAAACGACCAACACTACAAACACTGTATATGAGCCACCAAATCAGGTCTATGTACCACCCGAACCAGTAACCAATAAGTATTACAAATCAACGACGTCAACAACAACGAATACTCATAGTCAACCATTGCTGACACCTTTTCCAACCGTTGGCATTGATGGCCCACCAAAGAATCTGAATCAGTTGATGGCTTCATTTGACGAGGTGTTATTTTTTATGTGTTTTTTTTTTCTAATTTCCGTCGAATGTCGTTGTTTTTCGACATTATTTTATACACAATTTGAATGTGTTCTACATTGTTTGTATAGGAAATGGTGCAAGTGGACGATGAACCATATGTGCCGCGTAAAGAAGTCAACACAGCATTGGCCACGAAAAATGTTGCTGGACCACCGGTTTACTATCCACCTGGCAAAGAGTTATTTGCAAAAAGCGAGGCTCAAGCTGCATTGAGAGCAAGAGTAAGCCCGAAATTGTTTGATGAAGAAAAAAAACATTGAACATTTTATTGAGTGGGGATCATTACGCCTCGGATGGACAGCATACTCTAATAAAATAGGAATACAAAAGCATACTGTCCGTCCGAGGCATTATGTTCTCCACTCTTTTTATTCACTTCATATCAAAACGTTTCCTTTTTTCCGTCCCTTTTTATATGGACATTTTCCTACACAAAACGGATTTTGATCATGTCACTTCAGGGCGGATACGGTAAAGGTAGCGGCAAGTACGAGTATGAAGCTGAAAGTAAATCGAAAAATGCCAGTAAATCTGGTGCTGCTGTTGTTCCAGTATGTTTACCATTATGTTGTGCCATGCCATGTTCGATCATGTAGATCAATGTCTATTGGAGCGCGGAATACATGAATACACACAAAATAAGGCTGCATAGTTGAGCACACAACTACACATAGAGAATCGTTTGCTACGCAGAATTAGTATGAACCGCACACATTGTGCTCAACTATGCAGCCTTATTTTTTGTGTACCTTAGGGAATAAAATGGCATATGCATCGCATTGATTCTATATAATAACAAATTTGTTTAAACCACCAGAAAGGAGTTTGGATGTTATTTGAGTTTAAAGTACTAAAAACTAAGATTTTTTTTTTTCAATCGAACAACACAAATCGAAATCCATGTTCACAAATTTTTTCGTAATTTAAAATAAAATATTCGTTTACGTTCTTCTTATAACTAAAAATTATATGTTTATTTGTTAAATAAAACAAATGCTCAATTGTATTTCTGTAAAATTGTTATGACTTTTTCGATGATGGTGGTGGTGACTCTGCAATCCGTGGTGGCTCCAATTTTCAAAAGATTCAAATAGAACAATCAACCTATTGCATGGAATCCCAGGTATTTCTGTTCATTGAAATCTATTATTACCTCTTGATCAACAATATTGTTGTCTCAATCAGCCTCTCTGATCGTCTGTACAAATAGATAGGAAACGTCAAACAAGAACAATAAAACGGCACCTGGCGACTGGTTGGAGAAATAGAGAATCATGCACATAGTTTGCTGTAACAATTATGCGTCTGTGTTAGTTCAAACGTTGAAAGTATGACACATTGCACTTAGTCCCCAGATGCCGCTGTATTGCTTACCATTTTCATGATCAGAAAGGCTGGTCTCAATACACACTTACACATTCAAATGAATTGCTCAATAAACATAGACCTCTTAACTTACCTTAACCTTATGTAAATTTCGAGTATTCATTAAAATTAGTCACAATTTATAAAATCGATTTTATTTTATTCAAGTTAATACAATTAATTTTTAATCGCGCACATAAAAAAGCAAATTTTATATAGAACTTTTTTTTCTTATCATTTTTTGCGCTTTTCGCGGAACTGATAAGAGATAAGAGATAACTGTCTTCAGCGATGTTATAGAAAGCCTCAAGTAATACAACTTTGCCGAAGACACTAAGTTGTTATCTCTTATCAGTTCTGCGGAAACCATGAGAAACCGCGAGGACCCGCTTAAAACGAACATACATTCTTTTAACCATTATTAGTTGCAATGAAACATACTTCTCTTTATTGCTACGAAGTTGGACAAACTTGCGTTCTTTTGCGTCTAACTAATAGAATAGTGAATGCGAAAAACACTTTTGAACTTCGTTCCCAGTTATACAGCGTCCTAGCGTCACTCAAAATGATATCAGTCATTTTGAGTGGTAAATCCACGCACGGAGCGTCACTCCATTTGAACCTCGTCTAGAGGTTTTTCATCTGATCGCAATTACTTCAGATAATCACGTAACTGCGCATGGGCGAATGAGAACTAAAATGCATTTTTCTCAAATTTTCAAATTTATTCGGTTCTTTTGTTGAACATCAAATGATAGTAACAAAAAAGAGACGGTATTCAGCTTTTATAGGTGCCTGAAACCCCTTTTTTCAAGCCTATATTCTTCTTCTTTGATTACGTCTTACCCTTGGCTTCCGAATCCAATCGAGCAACGGTGCAATTGGTTGAAAAATAACTGGATCATCAGGTAAATGGATTACGGTCATGCCCACGAGTTTGTTATTTTTCTTCGAAATCATCGGTCCTCCAAACGCACAGAGATTTCCCATGCTTTCATCAAAAGTGTAACACATCAAATGATTTGCATCAAATAGATCGCCCAACTCCGATTTGCATTTGGCGCCATCCAAATACTTTGTATCATAACGTCTCATTCTCATTGTTCCATGCAATATCATATCACCGTAGACAGTGACCATTTCGGACGGGTCATTCATTTTGTAATCTTTATCCACCAAATCGATGCTGCCAACGTTATCGTTGAACTCTAGCGGTTCTTTAAGTGTAATCTTGGCAATGTTAAATCTCAATCCAGGAAATGCGTATTTCTCATGAATTTCTATCTGGTCTTTAGTGACTTTGATTGTTTTCGCATTGGTTGTGAGTTTATTAACTATTACATAGACATATGGGGCGCCGTGCACTTGATGTGCGCAGGTCAAAATCTCCGTTTCCGACAAAATGATTGCATTAAATTCGAGTTGCAAGTTTTCGTCGGTATCGGCATAATCTTCATTGTAAGCAGTAAGAAATTCTGTAATAGAAAAACATCTCAGAATGAATATTAACGTTTATGAATCATGAAAAATCTCCACTTTTGCCTCTCCTCTATTTAAAATTAAAAAAAGTGACGTTAAAAACGGTTTGATTTAGTTCGAATTTAGTTCGAATTTCGAATGCACACTTACTTGGCTGTATCGTTATACTGGCTATAAATTTAGCTTCGTTAGGTGTGAGCGAAGGTGGAAGTGGTTTCACGCTCTGAAATATAAGGAAAATTACAATTGGTCGCATTGTTGAAAATCAGAATTGAGACATTTTATATACCTTCGGGTCATGAATAAAATCAAGGAATGACGTAATTGGGAGGAACACTCCGCGACCATCTGTTGTTCCATTTATACCCATAGTTATGCCCACGATTTTGCCATTTGTTTTTGAAACGACTGGTCCACCCGAATCGCCAGGTGTAATAATTTCTCCATCTTTTGTAGAATCACCAGTGGTAAAGTACACAGCCTGAACTGGATTGAATGTGTCGGCCCGTTTGACATCAGATATATACTTCGCATCGCAACGCCTCAATGTCTTTGGTCCGATGTTGTTCAACACACCATACCCATATACGGTGACCACTTCTGATGAGTTATTCAATTTGTAATCTTTGTCCACGAGTTTGATACTGCCAACGGTATCGCTGAACTCTAATGGCTTTTCCAGTGTAATTTTGGCAATATCAAATGCACCAACAATTGATTCATTATAATGAGGATGATATGCAATTCTCTCTTTTTCGACTTTGATTAGGTTTTTTTCTAATGCAACTTTCGTACCAGCTACCACATAAATATATGGGGCGCCAGCCACACAATGGGCATTCGTGATAATTTCCGTTTTTGACAGAATAAATGCGGTACATGTAGACAGCATTTCTTCAGTTAACTTGTCTTTAAATGCATACAAATATCCTGTAATAAAATCGTTTCGTCTCAGTACAAGCAAAAATGAACACACACAATTGATAGAATATTTGAATTGAAAATTCATACGAAAAAAAGAATAAAAATTATTCTAAAGCTGACTTACTTGTAGGGGCGTAGATTCCAGCTACAAACTTTGCCTGTGACATGTTTTCAATCACTTCGCCCTTAAGTAGAGCTTGCGAGAAGAAGCCATCTGTTCATTTGAAAAAAAATTTAAAATTTTGAATTAAATCTATGGGTGAGATTGAGAGTGGAGTATGTTTTTTCTTCGATTTATATTTTTGAAAAGGCGAGTATGTTTTCTGATGATTCTGTTGACGTTAAAGTAGAGTATGTTGTAGTACCGTCTAGCCTCCGCGGTCTTCATTGTTTTCGCGCAACTGATAAAAGATAACAACATGGTGTCTTCGGCAAAGTTGTAGTACTCGAGGTCTTCTATAACTAAGCTGAAGACAATTATCTCTTATCTCTTATCAGTTGCGCGCAAATCGCGCACATAAAAAAGCAAATTTTATATGGAACTTTTTTTTCTTATCATTTTTCGCGCTTTTCGCGGAACTGATAAGAGATAAGAGATAACTGACTTCAGCAATGTTATAGAAAACCACGAGTGCTACAACTTTGCCGAAAACACCAAGTTGTTATCTCTTATCAGTTCCGCGGAAACCGTGAAAAACCGCGAGGACCCGCTAAAAACGAACATACTCGCTTTTAACCATTTTTAAGTCGACAGAAACTTGCTCTTCTCTTTCGTAACAAAGTCAATGAAACATATACTACTCTCAATCTCATCCATAGAAATATGATAACCAGGGCAACAAAAAATATTTAAATTAATATTTGGGCATTTTCTGACCATGAATGAATATTTCTCAATTTTTGAGTTTTTCGTAAATATTTTAAGATTTTTGACGACTTTTCAGAAATATTTTTGAGTATTTTTCAAGCAATGATAAATATTTTAGATGTTGTACATATTTCGCAATGAAACATGAGTCATATTCCAAGACAAAGCATTCCAAATACACTTACACGTCTCTGCAAATCAAAGACAATGGAATTATATCGAATTGTGTCACTTATAATCAATCAAAACACTAAAATTGCAATTCTGCAATGTGTGCTGTTTGCACAGTATACGTTACTGTGTAGACGTTTACAGATTTTATTCATTTGAAAGAAATACGCGTGCAACCACAATTTAGGAAAAAGTATGATGAAGTGGTTGCTCGAAACAAAGGATTGTCAAAAATAAAGCAAATCAAAAACATTCTTGTATCTGGAAAATGTACTGCGAAAGACGAATACGTTGATGGTCTATCCTCGGCCGAAATAGACGCGTTCAAATTCGCGCCCATTACGTTAACCGACGTCGAACGGTCATTTTCCAGATACAAGAATGTTTTAAGCGATAATCGACGTTCATTTATTTTTGATAAATTATCCAAACACGTCATCATTTTCTGCAATAACTTTGAAAATTAATTAAGTTTAGACATTATGTCAATAAATATTCTAAATATAAGATTTTCATCGTAAATATTTTGATGTTTTTTCGTGCATAAATAAATAAATATTTTGAGTTTTTTCGTAAATATTTTTGGTTGCCTTGATGATAACAGTCTAAAAAATCTTTTTGATTCATAAAAAGCGTGTTCGAAAACGAAAATTGTCTTACGTCTTCCATGAAGTTCCTAGAAAAGTTAATTTCGTGTTTACTTTCAGTTCTACAGAAATATCGTATTTTATTGGATAAAAATGAAAATGATGAAAGAAAAGAAATAACTTACAAAGAATTCAACGATAAATAGCACCAAAAATAAACCGTGTAGTAGATTCATTTTAATTTGCCAACGAAATAGAGTTTTAACCTGTTGCACAATAATATTAGAGAACCGTCTTGTACTTCTTCAGAAGATCCTTTGAATTCGTTTGGTCTTCCTTATGCGGTGCTGCCTATTTTATACCATTCATACACCAATAGCTGACACGTGCCATGCAATGTATAATTGATGAATTGTGGTATTTTGCAGTTATGGAATTTATGAATTGAGGTCGAATAACACTATGCAACAAATTTCGAAAACGAAACTCCCCCAAGAAGAGGAGACTCATTTCCAAGGTTTTCTTGGCCCACTTAATCCAAATCTGATACGGAAACTGCAATGAACGTATCTTGGAAACTAGACGTGCCAGGACAAACTAACGCCAGATTTGGATTAAATGTGCCCAAAAAACATTGGGAATAAGTTCCATTTTCTGTGGTTGTTTTTTTTACTGTTGCATAGTGTTATCATATTCAGACACTAAATGAAGCTCAATAACGAAATTCCTTTGATGGACACGTGTAGCTGATACAATTTGTGGAAATTGATAGCAAAAAAATGGAATACGTTCGAAAACATTTTAAATTCAGATGTAACTGGTTCGTAATTTGGTTATTTTCGGCTGTTGCCAATTGTTTTAACACTTACTCATTGTTTCTTGTGTACATTTGTGTTCTCCAGCCCAATGATGCTCCCAATAAAAGCGAAACGTCGCACAATAAACGAATAATCATTTTCGAAAACGGCTTTAGCCCAACACACCTTTGTGTTTGTTCAGATGGAATGAAAAAACAACAGCTATACGTGTGCACCAAAGGAATTTAGTGTATGTGATGTTGCAGTGCACAGTGATGATAAGAATTTACCTTAAGAGTACTTTTTTGTTCAATCCGTGATGAAGGGTCCTCATGTACATATATATGTGTTGTTGATTATAAAAATGGGATCAGTCAAATACGCTTAGTTACATGGGAATCATATATGCGTTCCTGGTGAGAAATAGGAGGCCAGTTTCTCAAGCAAAAATGTATATCTTGAAATATTTCAGAACATTGCATGAAGTATCTGTCTCCTATCTCTTCAGGAACACAAAAATGGTTCGCATTCCACCTATAAACTGGCCGTTTCGGCCAATCCCATTTTTATCACAAGGCAAATGCTGGACCCTAACGCTATCTATTGATTTTTGTAGAAATCATTAAGGTTTAGACTAAACAGTAGACTTGACATGAAGCTCACTTATATTTAAGCTACTTGGACTAACTTGGTAGCAAAACGTCAAACCAAATGGTAGTTGTACTCGCTGTTGACGTCTATTGTATTTGTCTTGTGATTTTTATACTCGAAATCATATAAACCATTTGCATAAAAAATCACGTTTTCTCGTCATTTCACACATTTTCGTTCGATTTCTTTGCTAAATAGTGCTTATAAGTTTGGCAACAACCCTATCTAACCACGATAATCGTATATATCGAAAGAGGGCCAAAAAAATGCACAAAACCACCAAAACAAACATATGAGGCATATTTGACCCTTTTTTTGGCCAAAGGGATGGAGGGCGACCTCACCCAAGATACTATGCAACGTCCTGAACACTTCGGTTATACCTAGTTATCCTCTAAATGGTTTATTTCTTGACCAACAATGTGTCGGTATTGAAAAAATTACTCACCCCTATAACACCCCGTTTACACCCTGTAGGACAGGTCAACCTTGATATTATCGACATACTCACTACGCCCCACTGTTCCACGGTATAAGTCTTATTGATGAACATCGTACGACACAAAAAGGAACACCGCCCTTTGTACCAGGCTAAAATTTTATGAGAGTAAAGGGCCGTAGACCCATTATTGAAGGAGATGGGGCAAAATAGTTTGAAGCAATATTGTTCCCCTTGGAACGCTGTACAACTTTGTTGAACATACCCAAGTGATAGCCCCTGCCTCAGCCCCAGAAAATGGGTATAATATGACTTTTTCACCCAAAAAATTAACGTTTTTTCATGTAACGGTACTTTTACTTTAATATAAACAAATGTGAATGTTATGTATACCGTTGGATAGGTAATCTTGAGTACTTCAATTTTGACCCAAGGAGTGTTAGGGAGCCATGGCCCTCGAAAGTGATGCCTTCATTTTGGAGGTTATCCATATAACCCCCTTTTTAACCCGTTTCCCTTCGATTTAGGGGTTGGGTATATATAATTGATCTACGCACTGTGCCCTTTAAGATAGTATACGTCACATCTCTATACAAAATGGCCCAAAATGGGACACGGTTCTTTTGAAGCCAATAGGAATCGGTTTACGGATACCTCTCATACAAAATTATCGAAGTTTTAGTTAAAGTGACCGATTTTTCACTTTATTTTTATTATTATATTTTCGCTGCCTTTATTTCAATAAAATTCACAAAAAATAACCAAAAGTACCTCGTCACGACTTTTGAATTTAGTCTTCAAGTCAAGCTTTAAAGCGTTTTGCCGTCCAAAAGTCGTGACGCGATATTTTTCCTTATTGTAAATAAATTTTCACAATAGTGAATGCGAAAAACACTTTTGAACTTCGTTCCCAGTAATACAGCGTCCTAGCGTCACTCAAAATGATATCAGTCATTTTGAGTGGTAAATCCACGCACGGAGCGTCACTCCATTTCAACCTCGTCTAGAGGTTTTTCATCTGATATGTTTTCCCTTGTAATTCAGATGCGTTAGCAGTTGGACACACGCTATTCATTCTATCATCGATATGCTGACGTAATTTGGGCACTTTTTGATAAATATCCGCCTTGAAGTTGAGAACAATCAAAGAAGACAGTTCAGCCCGTTTTTCATCTTTCAATTGCAGCATTTTTATTTGATTGTCAATTTTTGTTCGTGTTTGCCGAATTGTGTTGGTGGCATCGCGTATGACACGTTCCTTCAAATCTTTGAATTTTCCATCTCGCATTTCGGATAGCTTTTCAATGCGTCGTGCTAACTTGGCTAAAATTTGAGTGACCAGATCAATGTTAAGTTTTCGGAAGAATGTTTCATTGAAAGAATCACATTGACGCGATCGAAATTGTAACATGGCAATTTTTTAGGGCAATTTGGCTGCATCGGGACCAAGTTCATAAGTGAGACTGTGCTGGAGCAGTGCTTTGACGCACATATAAAAACCGGAGCGACGAAAATGATCTTTTGGTTCGCCAAGAACCTCATCACGAACCTTCTTTTTTATGACTGGGAATTCTTGTTCGCTTGCCGTTGAACTGGTTTCATCCATTAGAACGGTGATCAGCCATTTGGAAATGTAATCGTGATGTGGATTTTTTTGTTTTTCTTTGTAGAGAGGTTCTTTTTCGTAAAGAAGACAAAGCTGTTGCGCAAATTCATTGGAACGAAGCATTTTCGAATTTTTTACTTTAATCGCTTGTGTCGGATAGTTGAACTGTGAAAGAGGAGAAATCAAATTAGAATTTTTATTTATATAATTTTGCTTGGATTAATGCTAAAATGTTGAAAATTCTCATTGTATGCTGCAATCCTGAAAATTGTAATTTATCAAAATCAGCAAAATAAAAAGGTATTCAATCACTTCCAAGTCACTTGGATTGCTGTAGACTTCATTGTAAGACAATCGACCAGGAAATGTGGCCACAATCATGTTGTTGGAACCGCTTTCAGCATCGGATTTAGAGTGAACCATGATGGCACAGTTCTGTCGACGAATGAACATTGCAAATGTTTCACCCGAATTCAAATCGTTAATTTCCTTTGCGACAGTATCGATAGTACGACTTTGATGTACTATAGCTAATGTGCAAAGCATTTTCAATGTATTATCCGGGATAAAGCCAGAGAGACATTCCACATTGTGCACCATTCATCAACTCTAGCTCTTGCGAATAAAGGTAAGGCGATTTGCATTGTGGTAAATACCGCGGGAGGATGATGTGATTCATCAACGCTTCATGACTGATTGGAGTCTCACATATCGACTCATCTTCATTTGGGTCCTTTTCGGAAGAAAATACACATTTTGATGTTATTAAAATAAAATTCATTCGTTAACCGTTCAAATAAATGAATTCATTCGCTTACCATCGCGAATCGATAGAAATAGCAATGAACAATCGATGATGTTCGATTTCCCAATTAGGAGATGCCTGAGTATGTTACTATAGATGTATTGTCTGAAATGTTCAAATTGAGATTTCGTTCAATTTCTAATGAAGCGAAAAGAAAAAAAATAACAAGAGACATAATTGCGATCAAAAGCAATCAGAACAATCTGAAAAAATTAAAACCAAATTAGTTTTGAAAGCTAATCCAAACTAATTTTGTTGACTGTGAGAATCGACATTCATTTTTGCACCATTTGCCGCATAAAATCACATATTCTCAGAATGTTTCATTTCTACACGGAACAATCAATGCATAAGCTAATGCAAATTGTGTGCAAATTTCCCTCAACAAGAATTGAAACTCATTTGCCTTTGAATTTTTTCAAATCGATATTCAAGAAAAAGTTTTGGAATCGCAAGAATAAAAAGATTTATGGTAATTTTGATCACTTCTCTACATTTTTGTTCACAAAAATACAAACTTTAAGTTTGTTAAATCGATTCAACGCATAAAATTGAAATGAACGAAGTTAATCACTTTCCTCTTGATATTTTTTGAAACCACCGACAATTGTGACATCAATTTTAGCTGCTATTCCAAAAGATCCGGAAAACATGAATACATAACACTTTGGAATAAGTACAAATGAAATTTCATTTTATGCCAAAAATGACAGAAATTCACCAGCAAATTTTTATAAAACGAAACTTAACATATCAATCCAGCCGTAGTTTTTATCAAAAACAAACAATACTCACTTGATAAAATTTATCGCAATTCACTAGTTTATATCTATGACTTTTCCACACACAAATGTGTTTTATTTAACGAAATCAAATTTTTTATTTGTAATCACGAAGCAAACGCAGTTCACAGATAAAGGAATGGACTCGTAATGAGACTTGCTATTCAGTTTTGCTTCCCGTCAAATTGCTGATGTACTGTACTTTACCACTTTGAAGTTGTGTTCAGTCTTACTACGTATTATTATTCATGTATTGGTTGCACACGTTGTGCGGAATGAAAAGGATAAATCTCTCATTTTGCTGTTGTCGCACAGCGTGTGTGTGTGTATAGAAAGCGGTCAAATTTGCTTACATTGAAAAAAGTCAACTTCTCAGAAATCAAAATCTCATATTTGATTACATTGTAGTCTCTGTCATCAAATGTCGACAGTGGAACTATGTGGTGAAGGAAGAGATTAAGAGCAAAACTAAGCGAGAGAACATAAATGAACAAAGAAGGGAATTGTAGTGACATAAATAAATAGATCGAATTTGAAAACTGAATCCACTTGTTGCTAAGTTGCGTTATTTGCACATTTGAAGACATTAAAATTACTCCTTTTGCATTCAATGCATGGAGCTGATACAAAAAATAAAGAAATCCATTGAATTGGAATCATTCGGATAAAAAATTCATTAGATTCAAACAAAGCATGTTCAATTTCCATGTATTTTTCATTTTAATGCATTCATATTTAATTCCAAATAAACTTCACTCAAAAATTATACACATCCTTCTCATTGATCCAGTTTTTTCTGTTTCTGAAAATGAATAAAATTCAGACGAATGACAATCTAGGTGACAATTGTGAATTTCAATTGGAATCGAATGGAGATGGAAATCGAATTGAATTGCCGGATCGTTTTCTTCTTCGAGTGAATTTTTGATCAAGATAAATCCACGACTGAGCAAAAGATGGCGTTAACATACTTGAGTTCTACGGCTAAACCGCACATCGCCTTACACAAAAGTTGTTTGTGTTTATGAACAGTTGAACACACCACACACCACCAAAAATGCTGTGTGCCGCTCTGGAATGTCAAATCCTTCGATGAACACAACACAGTAAATACCGATAAGCACCAATTTGTATGGTGTTTTGTGTTGCACAAATTATCGCGCCATTCGAAGCATCACAGTATAACATAGCACACGTATTTTTTGTATTGACAAACCAAAAGTTGTGCAGTATTGTCAAACATTCAGCTGTCTTACACACAAGAAAAAGGCACTTGAATCCGAAGATAATCGCGAGATAAATACAATTCGATTGGTAGTCGATCGTTTGCGGCTTTAGAGGGCAAAAAAACAATTGCTGTCATGGATAATACAACTGATCCCGAGGAGAATCAAGCCAGCGGTTCCTGGTTTCGAGGCGTAAGTAAAATATTTCAATCCCAATTGATTTGATCCAAGTAACAATTGAATCAATCAGATTCTGAAAGGCATTTAGCATTGTCCACTTCAATTAGTCGTCAATTGAATCTTTTGTTCTCCTTTTTCCACAGTTTGACAATGAGTTGCAAAGTTCGGCACAAAATCTAGTGAATACCACCCGTGCCGCGTACCGACCGCATGTAAGTACTGATAAAATGCTTTCTTTGTGCATTCCATTCAATGACGCGCATTATTTTTACGTTTTGCTCATTTCAAAAGTTGGATGACGCGGAAAATATTGATCAAAATGAAGCCCCGCCAGCCAAACGACGCGTAAGTAGAAGAAATAGAATAAATTCAATTGTCGTTAATTTTGCATTGTACAGAAGTCATTCAAATCGATTTCTAACCTCAATATTTTTTGCTTGGAATATTGTAGCGATTTACTCAAGTTCCGTTACCAGTTGGAAACGAAGATCAAGGCCAGTCATCAACGGTCAATGAGCCAGAAAATTATGTTGCTGCCGTAAGTGACGCCGAAAGCGTTGCTGTTGCGAATGATACCGTTACAGGTGGAGAAGAGCAAAACAACACAGACAACGAAGCCGATACTGAACCGTTGAACGAATCAAGTGAAGCTACGCAAAAACCGAAAATGTATTTTGATTGGTTGGATGAGAAGACGTTGGTGAAAATTTTCGGTGAGTTTGATGCATTTTATCAGGAAATAACACCGAATAACTGTCCAACTTTACCTCCGTTCTTCACCCTTTCTCTCTCTCTTTAATACGTAGATCAATTGAATTTATACGACTTGTTGCAAATGGCCGATGAAGACCCACGCATCGAACAGGTTATCGCCGAAAAGATCATGCCATCACGAGTGCTCAATATCGGCGAAATCAGCAAACACTATTCGGTTCGGCACGCGTTCAAGCATTTCGGCCGATTTGTACCGGAGGTTGTGGTGAAACAAAGCGACATCCAATGGAAAGACGACAAATTCAGTGAGATCGAGGAGATCGTTCGGCTCATTGGAAAGCGTTGTGCAGACGGAAATCTCAAGAGATTGTCCATAACATTCGATATCAAAGACAAGAAATCATGTGAATTCCGCACAGAAATCCCCGAATGCTTCAAGACACTCAAATCGTTGACAATAATTCAATTGTCGTATGGTACGCGTCGCTCCGCCAACTTTGAGCATTGCCTCGAATCTTTGCTGGCCGGATGCACTGGGCTGAAGTCATTGACGCTTAGTCGATACAGATCAAGTGGTCAATTTTTGAAAGCATTGAACGACATGAAGCTTCAGGAGTTAAGAATTGAGAAATGCTTCTTCACTGAATCCAAGTTCTGGCTCGAATTTATACAAAAAGGGATTCCATCACTGAAATCATTCAGTTGGGACGATTGGGGCATTGCTGAACTGAAAATGCGTGAGGAAGTATTCGGTCATATCAGCACTGCTTTTCAATTTCTTGAAGAATTGTCGTTTGATTCAGGGTCCGTTTCAATGAAAATGTTCATCACGTTTGTCACGTTGCCCGTGAACCTTTTGAAGATTCTACGCATAAAATGTTCATGGTATGACGACGACGTTCTGGTGGCACTGTCACAAATGCCGAACCTCCAGGAACTACACATCGAATTCGCATTTGCTCGTTGCCTGGGTCGCTTGTTTCACTGGAGTCGTTGGTTTTCTTCGCGCTCCGACTGGAATAGCTTCAGCGAAAATCGCAACACAGCCTGGAAAAATGTCATGCAACGTCTCACAAAGCTACAAATCATCAAAATTCAATCGATACAATATCATTTTGGCTGGGACAGTTTCATCGATTTGGTGACAAATTTGCCCGACGTTCAACAAGTTGGTTTCAAAGGAACCCGGACATTTCTGCGGAAAAACATCGAGGATATTGTGTCGTGTTCACCTCAAATACACACATTGCACCTGGACGTTCCGATCAAATCATTCAGCCCAAAATTATACAACACACTCGTTCGCGATCGCAGTCGCTGGTATCGAAAGTCGCCGGCGCTCAGCATTCACATGGATGCACAAAAGGTGAGCAACCTGAAGCAAACCGTCGGTGACTACGCCACAAAAGCAAACTGCATTTGCCTTCGTTCATCATCGCAAATGTAAGTTCCGCATCGATATTGATACAGAAACAAACATTTCATACCGATGCAAGGTATGAATACGTTTGAATGGCTACGAATATCACACGAAAATAACGATGATTAACGATTTTTGAAATGAAAATTCAGTGAAGCGACGATTGTTTTTTTTCAATGAATTTTCCTAAACCCAAGATTATTTATTGTAAGGAAGAAAAAAAACAAAGGATCTAATTTTTTTTTTGAAAACTCCCACACTGATATCGGATCAGAACAATTATTCGATAATTTTCAGAATTGAATAAAAACCAATCAAACATAATCGTTATAAGAGAAAGAAAATTGTGTAAAATTATAAACTTTCAGTAATTTCATTGCTATTTATGAGAAAAAGAATTTACAATCAAAAGAAACACATTCGAAATGTGTTAGAAGAAATTGACCAAATTAAAAATATAGCATTTGAATTGGCGATAAGAAACAAACATAAGCATAGACATATGAAATTGTAAGGCAGTCAACAAAATGGACAACAAACAAAAAACAAAAAATGATTGGAAGAAATCGATTTAGTTGTTGTAAGACGTATTTATGAATACTTTAACATTGGACATTCAATGTCCGACATTGAATGTTCAGCAAATGTAATCGATTCACATTTGGAATAAAGCAACAAAAAACTTATCAGAAACGTTGTATTTTCTCTCTCTACCTTTAATTGCGTTAAAAACTAATTAATTACTTGTTTTGGGAAAATCATTTGGTTGGTATGGGCTTGTGAATCGAGTCACCACTAAAATCATATTTGGAATCACTCCGCTGAAATTACCACTTTAAATACAAAATTTAAATGCAAAAAATTTTTGTTTCAAATTATCAACTTGGCTATTTTTATATGAAGAATTCCACGCACCGCCCAAATTCTTATTCTAAATATTTCAAACCAAATTTATTTTTCCAATGGAATATTTTTTGACAGAAGCAAAAATTGGCTGATATCCCGATATATCTAAAGTTTCGTCTTTTTTCATTAAAAACACACAGTTTTTATCTCACGAATTATTGCGGTAATTAGAAAAATCTGCGATGAAATAAAAATCGTTGTCTAAAAAATTATTTTTGTGTTTTCGGGAAAAACTGTATGCTACAAGCAAAACCTAGAGCAAAACATATATCGTTGGTAAAAAAAATTGGTTAATTGGTTGGTAACATTTTCGCAATAGAAAAAAAATACAGAGAATCAATGAGAATTCAAAGCGGTTGTTACTAACAACTCTTTAGAGTCAATTAAATGCATTAAAGACACCTTTCACATAATAGTTTAGCTTAGTCGAAGAAATCGGTTCTGCATTTGTTATTTTGCCAAGAAAAATCGTAATTTTACACATTTTTGTGGTTATTCAGTCTACGACTCAACAGAATACTCAATATTTCCATACAATTTGATCTCAGGAATTTTATCATGAAAATTCGCCTCATTTTACGAAATGTTACACTTCTCGCGTAACAATTGATAATTTATAATTGTTCAAAGAAAAAACTATCAATACAAACCACTCATAAAGACCATTTAGTTTTTTTTTCTACTAGAAATAAATTTCTGAAATAAATGAAATTTACCTTACCTCCACGGCGAAGGCCCCACCTAAGGGAAAAAATAAATAATTTTCACCGTATTAAAAAAAAACATTTGCAATGAAGAAATGTTTAGTTTCAACAAAAAGAACACATCATTTGAAATTGGATTTAATTTTATTTTTATTTCAACAAATGACTCCATTTTGAACATTATTTTTTATGTGTAGAAATCATAATCCAAATCACATATATATATATTTATATTTCTGTAATATCAGATTTTATACAAATATAACTTCATAAAACTTTTTGTGAATTATTTCCGAAAAATTGAAATGAATTCGAAAAAGTTTCTTTTTTTGGGAATTAAATTCCACATCTACAAATTAATCATATTATAATGTTTATTTTTAGCAAAATTTAATAAAAATATATAAATTTCGATCGTATACGAAAGGAACATAATCTGCGCAGTAAAAACGGAAGTGCCTAGAATGACTTTCGCTAAAGGAGCATACAATAAGAGTTCTTTTTTGTCAGAAAAGAAAAAAAATACAATATATGATGGACGCCAAACATAATAATAGCTTATAATTATTCATCAATTTAAATGCTGAATAGTATTTTTTTGTTTTCTCTCTAAAAAAAAACCAACTCTAGCTAATAGATAGATTGAAACTGTATTTTTTTTCTCAATTATTGATTGAAACTAACATTCAGATTTTATTTGTATGCGTCGAATATCTGATTTAATAATTTATATAACTGTGTGTATTTTTTTTTTAAGTTTTCTTTGAAAATTTTGTAATTGAGCTATTGCATGTGGCTCCTATAAATCCCAAAGATTCTTCCATTTTTACTCAACCCTTTGTTCTATTTCTTATGAAATGTTCCATGTTTTTTTTTCATTTCTGTTTAAATTCTTCTACATCAACTGGCTTCAAACACAATCTAACATCAAACACGAATCTAAAACTAAAATTTCTTCATTCAAGGATCTGAGACACTTGCATTGGTATGTATCGAATTGATACAATCGATGTTGAATTATTACGAAATTATTGCCTGACATAAGGAAATTAGGTCAACATAATTTCAAGCTCTCTCGGCATGATGAATATGGTCTCAAAATGAGACATTTGTTTGGATGCTTTTATCACAAAAAAAAAATCAAGCCTGCGAATATTATGGAATAAGCAATTTAACGCCAAAGAAAATCGGGATATTTTTTTTGGTTGCACAATTCCATTGACTGCAAATTTGGAAAATATTCGGAATTTAAAAGAAAAATCCAAACAACTATTAGAAGAACACCGCCAATTAGTAGAGTAAAAGGAACGATTTTGATACTTAGAGTCTATAACTTTCTGTGGTGAGTTGCATCCTACTTTCAAAACTATTTTCAACCAATTTTTGACATTTTGGACAATTCAAATAGAAAAAAAATGGTTCAAAGAGCAGTAGATTCTTTAAATTATAAGATCGCCATGGGAGACAATCTTTGGCAGAAAACTTTTGACGTTTTTCTCTTATTTTTGCGAGAAAGTTTAAACTTTTCCATTTGATTTGGCAGTAAAAATTTGAAGATTTAAAAAAAATAACAGAAATTGAAGATTTTAAAATTGAAAATGAAGTCCAGCAACTGAAAAACATCTCTTCGAATGCTCTCACCACTTGAAATACATAACAAATACATTGTTCTACACATTTATTCCATTTGGAACATAACATTTCCATTTTGAGATAAAATTTGATTTTGAATAGGCCATACATTTTGTTCGATTTTTTAATGCATCGGTTATTACTTCCATTTACGCAATATTGCACTCTATTCTGATTAAAATATACTAGACTTGATAACAGGATTCGATTACCATGAATTACTGGATTTGGATGAACTCAAAGTGGTTCATATTATACTCGTGATTACCCTTTTCTCAACGGCGGAATAAGGTCTATTTTATTGTAATACATTTGTCAACCAGATAAAAATTTGTCAATCAATCTAACCATTGTTAACAATAATCATGCCGAGAGGTGTCTCATCCAAAATTCTTCCCTATCACACTCAAAATTAAAACATTGAATGTCCAATTTGTTCTGTGTGTTTTTTTTTCTCGTTTCATTCAACATCATATTCTTTAACATTCATCACATGAACAGACAAACATAAAAAAACAGTAACAGAAATGTTTAATAATAATGATAATAATATAGGGAGTGCAATTAGAACTCCATTATGTGTCATGATTTTCTCGGTGGCGTTGGTGGTGGCCTCGTCACTTTCGGAATGTTCTCATACACTAAAAATAGACGGTGAGAGAAAAAAAAGTTTCAATTAATTGATTAAAATTAGAATTTTTCTATAAAAAGAATCAACTCTATCTGATTCGAGACGATTTGATTCGAACAGATTCGAATCGAATCAAGTCATCAAAGACACTTACACGTTGATGTAGTGACGTCATTTGCTCTAAGTGGAGTTATTTGCGCCTCAGATGTCGATCTATACAGCAAACCGAAGGAGAGAAAAAGACAAATGACAACAAATATTTAAAGCTTAAAATGCCAAAAACTGAAATGTACATTACTTCATGCTCATTTACCTCGTTTTCTTCTGATTGATGGTGTCATTTTTGTTGATACACAAATTTGACATTGAAGTCGGCAGCGGTGATCGTTGTAATTCATTCAGATCACCTGAATATCTGTCAAAAGACACAAAAAAAAAACAAAAGAATTAGAGATTGAGTACGTTGTCTTCAAAGCACTGTATAGATTTATTGCGCCCGTCTGGTTGGTCATATATGGAATTTGTTGAATAGCACCGCCAAAAATCCGTCGAAACAATCAACAACATTATCAAGTGTCTTTACGCTTTTTGCAGTTCTTTTGTCTTATGTTGACAAAAGATTCGAGGAGGATCACATTCATGGAGAAGCAATGGAGCTCCATTGGAGCATCACATTCATTCATTGAGCATTGAGCATTAAACTAACAACTCGTCAAACACTATTTAAGGCTACTAATTATAAATGCGTCGTTATATTTTGACCAGATGTAAACAACATAGCCTAAAAATAGTCGAAGAACCGATGAATTAGAGGTAAACATCGCCTAAGAATAGTTTAGAAGTAAACATTGCCTAAGAATAGAAGAAAAAAGAACCAATGAAGAGGAGTTTGCGACGTCTTTGACGTAATTATCAACCTGGTTTGTTTCCTGTGGCGTGAGAATATGGCAGAGCAAGAGCGAGATGACGCTACTCGGATTTTTTCTATAAGGAAGCTGGCGTGAGAAGTGAATCGTCGTGGGGGGTAAAACGAATCGAATATTTTGGTGTCGGCCTCTTCTAAAACACACTTACATGTACAAGTTGCAGGTATATGACCGCATTTGGCATTAAGCTCGCGCACATCGTACTTACGCCATCAATCATTCACCTTGCAGATTGTGTGTGTGTGTGTGTGCTTGCCATTTATGGAAACCAGATCTGTGCGTTTGTTATTCCATTTCTAGCTGCTCAATATTTCTGTTCGTGTGTGCTGTGTGTGTTCAATTCAAAACACCGAAATAAGAAATCATAATTCATGGTTTATCAAACAGAAAACAATGTAGCATTTTGTTGTCTGGATGTAAAACGTAATTGGCTTTACAGAAATGACTTAATCTGGTGGATGAACCGAGGCTAGATTTTATGTCAAGATTTTTTTCTCTAACAATTGATCAATCTGTCGGATTTCAATAGCAAAGCAGTTCAATCTTTTAGCATACGCTTCAATCAGAAGACATATTGAGAGCTAAAAAAAAGAGGTTCAATGGCGACACCAAGAAGAATGAAAATGTACATGAAAATGTCTGTGATCGATAATTGAGTTTGAATGTCGGTGATATGAATAGGTCACTCATGTGTATGTTTTTTTGACGACAGTTCAGAAATATTGATGTTTTTTGGTTCAGGTATATTTTTTTTTAATAACATTATGTTTTCTTCTTTTATTCTCAGGCAACTTTGTGAATTCCATTCGAAATGCCTTTCGTATTGGTTTTTATTTTATTTCGATATTTTGTTGCGTTCGTTTTCTGTTGCATCATTGCAACGCTTATGACTATAAGCTAAATGGTAATACATTGTAATTTATTATTTCTAAAGAGTACAAATTAAAAAAAAAGGAACTGCTGCATCAACTAGACTTAAGAAACGCTGATAGTGTTGTCGATTGGTCGTATTTATGGCTCTGACGTTTTTTGGCGGTGCAAAAATGTTTCGGTGTGACAATTAATAACAAATGCTCAAACATATACTTCGTCCACGTACTTAATGTTTGAATATTCTCGTCCAACTTGAAGACTCTGTTGCTCGGCGCGCATTCGGTGGAATAATGTTTGGATATAATGTTGTACGGCATAGTATACGAATTTGTATTGGGCTTCGGTTTGAACCATACCCGATCGCTGTGAACGAACCATTTGAATCGTTCGCTGGATGTCGATTTCGGTGTCGAGCCCATTGCGATCGATCGTATCGAGAATCATATCGATGACTATGAATGTTCCCGTTCGACCGATACCAGCCGAACAATGCACACAAATCGGACCCTGGAATGGGGGGGAGAGAGAGAAGTCGGTTATTAGACATTGGTGCTCTCAGGAATGATCTCATTGTGTTCTGAATCAGAAATTCTGATATACTAACCGGACTGATTCCTTCGGATCGAATTTGCTCTTGACGGGCATTTACATCGTGCAAAAAGTTCAACACACAACCTGGATCCGATGGGACACCTGAAATATAAGAATTAGTCGATTAGAATTAGGTTCATTGAAGACGCCCATTTGAAGTTAGTTTTGTGCTATATTTTTTGCGACATTTGGTCACGGAACTTGGAAGTTCCATCTCAATGGAAAGCGATTTTGATCATACGAATATGATCGTGTCGATTTTTCCATTAAAAATGGATGGAACATCCATCGAAATGGAGTGTTTCGGTTCCGGTTTCGATTTTAGCACTCACCATGATCTGGCCACACTTGAAAGTGATACTGGTATATGTGACGTTCATCTTTGTTCTTCCATGAGAATAAAAATTCACGTAACGTATAGTCGTTGGTGGAATTTTCCGTTAAGCAGGTAACTTTGGCATGGCCCCATTCTTTTGTTTGTCCCTGATCGGGCCAGTAGCGTGCACATTTCGTTTTGCTGCGCTCTAATTCTTTGGTAGTCATCACAATAACACGAGTGTTCTCTTGCCAAATCATATTCCAGAAGTCGATTATCGTGTTTGGTAAACAGCCCTGGGTCGCAATATACGTTTTACACGATTCTTTTTCATCTTTTTTCAATGTTATAGTTGAACCACGTGATGTTATCGATTCACTACGTTTGTGTTTACCCTGTGTGAGTGGCGAAAAGAGTGGAGAAACGAAAAATGATTAGAGATGGAGAGATGGAGGAAATAGTAAAATTATGTCCATGCATAAATCTTATGGAGTATGCCAGAGTATTTCATTCTTTTTTAGCAACGACTAATTCAATCAGTTTATTCAATTCATTGGTTTGGTTTTTTTTTTCATTTCTTTTTTCAATTTTCATTTTTTTTTAACTCAATGAATTGAGGATTGTGACTCGAACAGAATAAATCTTAATTGATCTGAACAAAATCAATTACCATGCACACTTCATGTGTACTGTGCAAAAAAGTATGCTTTTAATATATTGAAACAGTGCCGGTATTCTGGAACACAATCCGCAAAAATCGTTCGGAATTATTTTTTTCGTACGTAAAACTATATTGGAGTGAAAGAGAGAGATTCCACTAATTTTCAACATCTCATCGGAATAAATAATAAAATAACTCAAAGGAATAGTTATCGCAATAATTTCGATGAGATGTTGAAAATTAATGGAATCTCTCTCTTTCACTCCAATATAGTTTTACGTACGAAAAAAAAATAATTCCGAACGATTTTGGTGGAATGACTTAGAATACCGGCACAGTTCGTAAATGTTAAAAATGCACATCTGCCAGTGCTTGATATGAAAGAAGCAAACATTCCTATGTTTTCAATCCAATGAATCGAAATTGAAATGAAATCGATCGAAAAGCGGAAAAAGGAATGGATTTTATCTTTTTTTGAGCTGGGATTATTCAAATCTCTTAACTTTTTTTTTTTTTAAATCGAGTACACATGTTAAGCAATGGATATGTAGGTACATTGGAAACACCATGACAAAAATCTTTGTACGATAAGTACCGTGAAGTATGTAACGACGTTACAATGTAACGTTAAGTTTGGATATGTAATGTGCAGAAAATGATTATTGGATTCCACCATTGATGGAATGACGGAAGAGTAAAAATATAAGTTGCCAGTGCCAAATCAGAAGAAAAAATGCCATGGAATGCTGCAGTCTTATTGAAAAGCCAAATAAATCTCGTTAAATTTTTCACATCTGAACACCACTCCCTACCTCTGTTTTCTTCCCACAGTTGGTGCAGTTGCCATTCAGTGGAATTATAGCCGATTTCATCGCACATTGAACACATGTTTTATTCAGTAGTTGACAATTTTGGCAATTCTTCTGTTGTTGTGCAAATGTACAGGCCGCACACAGTGACGCACTTAGATTTTCCGTTGACGATGAATTCATATCACATTGTTCGGTTTCGGATGGTTGTCGGATGTAATTGGCATTGATGTATTCAGCACCGATTTGTGTCGTATCCACATCCACTAATTTGACACGCGTGTGATCAACTGTATGAAAAATGAAAGGAGGAGAGAATTTTTTAATGATTGAAGAAGTGATTTAAGAGATTTTGCGAATATTTTTCGAATTTTACATGCAAAAGTGAGATCAAAATTTGCATAAAAATAAAAATTCAAACACTATTCAATGAACAGTGCTTGGAAATTAATTGAAATCTTTGTTAAAATTCCGTTTTTTTTTCTTGAACACAGAGGAAATGCTTCACTTACATGGTAAAATATTTTTATATCGATTTTTATTCCGATTTTCCATCCGGTGTCCTTCACGACGTGAAAATGTGTGTCTACACTCTTGCTGTTGAAGTGATTCGAATTCTTCCCAAAATCCTCCCTGCGAATGGAATATGTATTAGTCAGTGTTTATTCTCCGGAATACTCATGAATGCAAAAAAATATTAGCAAAATAGGAAAAAATAGAAAACTTCCAAAAATAAACTCTACCTTTCCATAGCAATGTTGTCCATTTTCCTTCTGCAATTGTTCGACACGAGCGTTAATACCAGCTGCTGTAATGCGTGTAGCATTGAATGGTTGTCGCAAATGAACAACAGTGCCACAAGTTTCGACCATTGGATTTCGTTTGTAGTGTTCGATGAGTTCGCAAAGTGTTGGAAATTTTTCGCCACCACCAACATCGTATTTGTTGTCTTGCCACCGGATCATCACGTGTGTCACTTTGTCGTCCGTACGAACGGATAGTACAAAATCACCTGGTTTACTTTGCGATTCACGTACCAAAAACGAACCGTTTTTTCCACGTTCCAAAATCAATTTTTCAGCTTCTTTGCCCGACAGATTGCCGTGAAACCATCTAGAAAAAACAATGACGTTCACAACGTTAGTTGAATATTTTCCGGAGTTTGAATAAAATTAAATGAACTGCTCTATTCAAATAGCACTGATCGACTGAATTCCAGTTGCACAGTGTTCGCCACAGCCTGATCATGATTTGTTCAATCCCCCACCACAATACTTGTATTTGCAATAACAAATGAGAGATAAATATAATCAAATATGAGTGCCGATTCAATGCAAAAATAGCTAATTGATTATTTGTAATTATTATCTCATTTTAGAAAGAGAGGCAAACACATCTCACTTAGGTGGGTTTCAAAAATTGTGATTTATGTTATTTTCGATAATTTCAAGCTGACTAATTTGTTTACTCGCACCTCTACGCAGCAGCTGACACCTCAACGATATATGTTTCTCGCATAAAGGTGGCACTTTTCAGATGGCTACGAAAAAATTAATCTAAACATGTTGTTGATTCGAAGCGCCACATTTCGCATAAACAAAAAAAAATGTAACAATACAATACACTTCCCGGAGATTTCATTCACTTTGCGATTGTAGGAAGCGTTTGAACGATCGTTTCACGGTAACAAACTGATGCTAGCGGTCATTTGAAGACGCACTTCAACCCACACTCAAACGACAAAAAAACAAAACATACACATCTTTGTGCTTTCGTTCGTAATTGTTTTGTTTCTAATCGCAGCTATTGCCAATAAATCGATCGGTTTAACCATTTGTATTGGTTTGAATATCCCACTTTGAATGGGAATGGATTTGAGCTAGTACATCTAAGGTAAGGCCGATTTGACACATCACCACTGTGTGCAGTAGGTGTTTTCTGTTTAATAATTAGATTTGATCGTGGTTTGAAGTGAGCAATTGAAATGTAAAGCCACGTATGTAGCCAATTGGACGGCAAATCTATTACGATAAATGAACTCGTTTGCACTCGGTCGATCAACGACCGAAAATAGTCATGCGGTTTTTGAATGGCTTCGCTTGCTTTGTCTAAGCCTGGCATTTGCTTAGCTCTCTAGCTGACGAGTGCTTCGGTTTACAAAGCTAAAGAAAGAGCAGCGTATAAGTTAAAAAAAAAAGATCAGCTTACAAGCTAAAGAAAGACAGACAAGTCTGTCTATTTTGAATCGATCGAAGACAAAATTAGACAAAATGACCAAATTTGCAATAAACTGCTATATTTATAACGAGGCCTAAAATTGACTAGCATTTTGAGTTTTCTTCGTGTTTCTTTTTCACACTGCAATCGATTCGATATGGGAATGTTACATCCATATTCGATGCATTGATTTGTCTACAATCCATTCCTGACTGGACGGTTCCTAACAGCGTAGAGAGTGTTGTACAAGTTTTCTGTCTGCTGCATGCGATTGGTTTCCGAGGAAATTTGTACGGTTTGAGCATCAACGCGCATAGCACAACCGACGCACAAGTAGGCAAATAGGAAGAAACTGCATTTTTTTCTCTCATCATACCGTTTTTTGTGATGCGGCTTATCAGTTAACTGTTTTTGTTGTTGTTGCTGTGCTTTTTTCCCCCTCTTTTCGCTCGTTTGGCCACTACAATTCATGAAATCACGTTCAGATTTGTTTTAACACAAATCTGGAAATTTACCGTTGCTAAAATGCAAACGCAACACGGAATGGCGTTGAAACGTGCGCATTTCATGTTCAATTTTAATTTTAACAAAAGTGCCCCCCTCCCATCCTGCCGCATTCGCAAATCATCAAATGTGAACATGAAACGTAGCATGTAAACGAATCAAAATCGCAATAAGTGTCTAATTGTTAATTCATTTAACGATTTAATCATCATCATGTGAACCATTCAAACTCAATACACCTTAAACTCAGCTCTATTGAGAGAGAGTGAAGGTAATAATAATTCAGAAAAAAAACAGTTACAATTTTACAATTAAAAATTCTTCACTCGAAAAGTGAGAAAAAATCCAGAGATTTATTTATAAACATTTACAAAACGCTGTTTCACTGAATGCAATTTCAATTTTCAGATTTTTTTTGTTCGTGTTTGTTCACATCGCTTTAACGCTTTCAGAACTTAATCGATTTAATTCTATGCTTGTTAAATAGCGAAAGTAGAAAAAAATGGAATTTTTTTCGGTATTTCAGGACGTAAATCCCCTTATCGATTGTGCATTCGTTGGCTGCCAGAACGGAATTAAGCTAAGAAGTGTTAAGTAGGATTTATGTAGTTGTCGTGACATAACAATAATAATGTATTCATTAACTGCTCTTTACTGCTTTGGCACCGCTTTGCAAGCCAATAACAATTTTCCCATTCGATTCAGACGTGATTACTCAGAAGCTTACAACTAGATATGCGCCACACACACATACACACGGTGTATAAACTCGAATGTAATTACATTCAAAATGAATTTGCGTACCGTTCGCAATTATGAATCGATGTTTCGAACAAATTTAATGTATATTCTTGTACGGGTTCTGGCTGCGGCAACAAGGAAATGGAGAATTGTTTTTCAAATAAGCTCTTTAGTTTAATAATAAAAGGCAATTAGTTATTTGCGATTATCACCAAAATACGCTGCCAAATGCGATAAGAAACATGTGATTAAGACAATCATCAGGCTTTTGTTTATATGCAATATAGGCATTTACTCATTTCGATTCAGGAATATGGGCCACTTGAATAGAGTGAAACAATGACATGGAAACAACAAAAACCTTTCAAATACACACAGTGTGTGTGTTGTGCTTGTATCGCCTCCTTCGTTCC